TTTAATTCTCTCTTCCCAGACCTTTTACTTCAAGCTGAGTAACATGTGTATCTCTAATGGTTTTTGTAGTTTTTCTTTTTCTTTTTTGGGGGGGAGGGCCGAGGGGGTGATGGTGGTGGTGAAATTAAAAAAAAAAAAGTTTAAAAAAGAATACAAACCATACTTTCACTTGATACTGTCTATTGCTTTTATTTTTTTTTTAAAGGCTACTATTTTTTAAGCACCTACTATATGCAAGACACTTTAGATGCTTTACACAATTATCACATTTAAGTCTTAAAATAATCTGTGAGGTAGGTACCATTATTCCAGTTTTGCAGGTGGGAACACTTCAGCTCAGAGATGTTATTAAACTAAGGTCACACAGCTAGTTAGGTGCAGAGTCAGGAGTAAAATACAGATTTGATTCCAAAGCATACGTCTTTCCCCTCTGTTTATAAGACTCTCTTTTTTTTTTTTTTTAAATATATCTTTATTGATTTCAGAGAGAGGAAAGGAGAGGGAGAGAGAGAGATAGAAACATCAATGATGAGAGAGTCATTGATCGAGCCCACATCCGGGGCATGTGCCCTGACCAGGAATCGAACCCCAATCGCCCGGATCCTACGTCAACGCTCAACTGCTGAGCCACGCCCAGCCGGGCTATAAAACTCTCAAACTTTTGTTTTTTTAAGACCAAGTTTGAATGGACTCTTCCATACGTAATGCACCTAGGAAGAACACTAAAATGGCTGGTATTACGTGTTTGTAGAGCTAGCAAGCACATTCTTTTACCCTACTTTTCCACTGAATGGCTGTTAATTCTCTTACCCAGGAATATTATGGAATTGAGCCTTTTCATGATCCGACCCCATAGTCAAACAAGGCCTGATTATTAAACATTTGAAACTGAATTAGCAATGAGACTAATGCCATTCAAATATGAAAAATTCAGAGATATTTGATAATTTGCAAAACTGCCCCAATTCTGTGAGCACGAATCCATGCAGTTAACATATTCATGGAGCATCTACTATGCAGAACAGCCAGTCACCATTCTAGGGACTGGGGATCCCAGTGATGAACAAGATGAAGTCAGTAATCTCACTGAACTTGTTCAAACGAGGAGCAGAGAAACTGCGAGAGAAGAGGGAAGGCACCTCTAAGATGGTGGCATTTTTATCAGACATCGAAATGAAGGGGAAAACAAGCCATGCCAAGTATCTAGGGGGAGAAAACAAGAGAAAGAACATCAGAGAAAGAGTGAACAAACAGCAAAGGCCTGGAAGGGAAAAGGGGCTGCTACATCGGGGGAATAGCAAGATGGCCAACACTGCTAGGGGGGAAAAGGAATGAGATGAAGACAGAGAGAAACATACACCAATATGTCCTTGAAGGCTTTGAGAAGGACTTTGTATTTCATTCTGAATGTGAAGAGAAACACTGAATTTTAACAAGATTCCTCTGGCAGCAAGAGAAGCAGTAGGAGGGAGCGAGAATGGAAGCAGACACAGGCCAGTCAGGAGGCTTTACAGGAGCCCCGGTGGCAGTGGTGGTGGATGCTGTCTGCTATTTGGGAGCCAGCAGCATGCAGACAGTGTTTTAAGTCCTGGGACTGAGGCGATCACCAAGGGCGTGAATGAGCACACAGAACAAATGGACTCAGGGCTGAGCCCTGGAGCACTGCAATGTCTGGCAGTTTAGAAGATAAGCTAGCAAAGGGAAAGCATCTCCATTTTACCAGCACATATATTTTGTATATATTTTGTATTCAGACTTTCCTAGTTTCTTCTAAGAAACAAATGAAACCAGGTAGTTTAGTTTGTTTCCTTGTAGACATATTTTGACCACATAGAAAATAAAAATATGAGAAATATGATAGAAATAAAAGATTTCTATTTAAATGAGGCAGGACCTCTCAATAAATTAATATGCAGTCAAACCTTGCTACATTCAAGTTAAAGCTAATAATTTCTAAAAATAAATTATTTCATGAAACTTGAGTCTTCAGCAAATAAAGGCCTAATAAGCCTAGAACCTGAAAATGCACATAAATTATACAAGGAGTTTTACTGTAACATGATCTGACCTGCATTTGTTTTAATACCTGATACTGCCGACATGCTAGAAACCTACAATGAGGAAGTATAAAAACAACCAGAAAGTCAAACTGACTTATGTGTAAGGACTGAGAAAACAACAAAATACCTATGATGAGGGAATTAAAACTGTTGATTCATTTGTTTTAACATCTAAAGCAGGGCAAGTAAACTAGTGTCAAAATAAAAAAAAAGCGGTTTTGTATTTTAAAAGAAAAACAGCAATGTTTAGTATTTTGTTTCATACACTTTTAAAAATTGTGTCTCTTTTTGAAGGCTGTTCATTTCACTCTTTTTAGCTTTTTGCCTGTCTTTGCTCTTTTAGGCTCTTAAGCAAGAGAACAGGGACACTGAAGCAGGAGGACCTGCACTGAAATTCAAATTCTTTCACTAACAATTATTGCTCATACCTTTGGGCAAGTTACTATATACTCGAGAGTTTTGACATCTCTTCATTTGAAAGACAGAAATAATATCTACTCCACAGGCATCTTGAGCAGAATTAAAGGAGATTAAGCTATGCAGAGCACCTACAAATATTTACAGCTTTATAAATGATAATTCCTTTCCCTATTCTATCTCCCTTCCCTTCACTGTTTCAACATCTGTAGTATTTACATGTTTATTAAAGTTACCTTTTGAGTGCTTTTAAAAGAAAATGGGAAACTTTTACCTTGGTTAAAGTGGTAATGATATAATCCTATCAGTTTTGATCAATGGCCTTTAGAGATGTTTATAATATTTTACCTTAATGGACTATAAGGTTCTTCAGAGAAAGAATTACTGTATAACTCTTTGAAACCCTATTGCCTAGTGGACCAATAATATTTATAGTGTGGAAAACATGCAACAATATTAAAAGGCACTAAGCATAATTTGTATAAAAAAATCACAGGAAGCTATTTACATTGTTTACCTTGGGACTGAGAATTGAATTGTGATCTTATAGGTTAATTAAGGTTTACATCTGTCGAACTGTATTTTCTAAACTTCTATTTGTGTGTATTGATTAATACAATGGACTACTACCATAGCTTTCACAAGTAACAAAATCCAAGTTTCAAAGGAAATAGAATATCTAAAACCCAATTACCTAAATGACAATTAATCCGCTATTTCCTGCCATACACAAGATTCAGCTGTTCTCACCTCCTGCAGAATCACCTTTCTCATATTTACCATCATAAATGTGGAACCTATAGTTCCTGATCTTAAATGAAAAAATTCACTGTTGGCTGCTGACACGTACCAAAAGGCAAAATTGGCTACAGAAAGGAATTTTTTTTTTTCAAACAAGTAATTATAGCTAAATTACTTTGCTTCCTCTCTCCATGCAACCAATTTAGAATGAAGAACATATCATTACTGCATGATAGTATCTATTTTTACAAGTCTGTTACATATTAACACAGTGGCATCCTGAAACAGAATATATAAATTTGTTTAAAAATAATGTATATGGCTTTCTGAGCATTTTAAAGGAAGGTGCTAAAACCGAAGTGTCTTTATGAAATACCTCATGTTTAAATTTCCAAAATTAGACTTCCAGATTAATAAGAAACTTTTAATTGCACTTGAGAGCTTTCTAATTTCATTTTCCTCCCTTCATTTCTGTCATTCTAACATTCATTAGAATCTCCATCAAAAGATAATAAAAGGAAGAAGAACAGAACAACTTCATCGACTTTAATCCTATCAGTCAGCTAAGTTAGAAATTTATGTGTAGGGGTTACGAAAAAAGTAACGTGATAGCAAAATATCATAACGATACAACAATGCTGGAAATTGTTTTTCTAGTCCAGTCATCCACATCAGCAATCTTCTCCAGGTCTGGCTGCAATAATGTTGTATGAGCACAGATCATCTATAGCCCACTGTTTTTCTACCAAAATTCTTTCATTCATCTTACACACATGTAGGGAGGGTGGATGGGGGTTTGGGAGTAGCACTGTTCTAGGTGCCGGTACATAACAACAAACAAAACAGAACTTCCTCTCTATGAATTCTCACTTTCCAATAGAAGGAGATAGCTACTTTTGAGAAGTGTAAATACATAGCATGTTAGATAATGCTAAATGCTATGGTGAAAAATCAAACAGGGAAAGAGGGATATAGAGAATCCAGGTCAGGGATAGGAGCTGAATTTTTTAATTTGGTGGTCATCTATCCTCATGCTCCTTCCTAAAAAATATTTTTAAATTTAAAATCTAAATATATCTATTTTTCTAAGCAAATTATATTGAGGGATATATTCAGAACAAATTTCTATTAAGAGGGACAGGTGGATAACCTCAAAAATTACAATTTTAATGACAGACTAGCCACTGTTTTGCTTTAAAAAAACTGCCTCATATAACTTTCATAAGCCTGCTAGTACATAGGTAGACATATCCTAATTTTTATTGGTGATGTGACAAATTCTCTGATAAAACTTAATATTATTACAATAGTCACCAAGTAACAAAACAGCATTAAAATCTTGAAAAAAAAATTTTTTTTTCACATGCTATCTTGATTAATTTACTGAATTCTCAGTGGGCAGAATAGCTCTTCAATATATGGTATTAAACCAATGTCCAGCTACATTCCAATAGTGGCTGAAAAACATTTATATTTCTTTTCCCTTTAAAAACTTTTGCTTTAATGGTCAAATACCTCTGAGGCAACCTAGGTGATCTTGGGGAACATCAGGTTCCCTGAGCACTCAGAAGGCTATCTAGGTTCACATCTAAGCAGGCTTGTCAAGTCAGACTCCTGTTGGTTTCGACCACAACCTACCTCGGTGACAGATAAACACTTCCAAGAAATCTCAAGTGCTCTCATATTATTCATATTATGACTCTTCCCAGCATTTTATCAAATCAAACATTTTTTACATTAGAAATATCATAAATTTACATTAGTGATATTAAAAAAGAATACCTCCGTGGTGATGTGACAGACTCCCTCCATTAGCGAGGATTTCTTCTCTAGCAGCTGCCTATATTTGGAAACAATACAATAAATAGATTTCACTTTGAAGTGAGGGTTAAGATCCAACTCCCAAAGGAGACACATACTTCCTGAGTTAAATAATAAACTAGAAGCCTAATTTTCCTTTCTCTTAGGTTAACTGCATTTAAAAAGCAACTAAAATATATAGCCTAGCTTTTTGGTTTTTTCCAGTGAATAGTCAAAATATCTATAATTGTCACTTCCAGATTCTAGAAAAGAAAAAAAAGGCAAAATAATCAATTTAGCAGTACTAGATTGTTAATAGTGAAAAAAGTTTTGTAAAGACAAAGCGAGGTCCTACTCTGAAGTAAACATCTCACTGTACCAATAAACATTAGTAACTAACATTTACTGACTGCTTATTGTGTGTCCAGAAAAGCACTAAGCAATTTACCTGCAATAACTCGTTTGTTTTTACAACAGTCTTATGGAATAATTACTATTACTTGTATTTCACAGATAAAGAAAATGAAGCTTCAGTGGTTAAATTATCAACCTAGTATCATACAGTGGGCATGAGACTCCAGATTACTTACAAAGCTATTAGGAATCAACCATAAAAGCCCCAAGGGGCAAATTACCTGTCATTCCTATGGGTACTTAAGCTCGAAACCCCCATCTCCTTTTATCCTAGCACACTTGCCCTGACTAGGCTCCTCACAGAGCACCAAGGTGAGAAAGACAAACGAAACACCAAAACCCAAATAAAGAACTGATTGCTGAAGCACAGGGTTAAAAAAGGGTAACAGAAACTGAAATTACATCAAATTCATCAGTATGGCAGAGCAATGAGGGGAAATATCTACAAGGCCTTGAGCCTCTCAGAATTACTCAGGTTGTACAAACTGTCAGGAATGTGGGACAGATAGCCTGTGTCTCATTGCAAAGGAATTTATAAGAACCCTCATCACTTAGCATTTTTCAAATGAATCATAAATATGGCCCCTGCTCTAAGAGATTATATCCTCTAACAAATTATTTTAAATAAAGCAATAACTACTTGAAACCAGTAGCACTTAAAGAATGGCAGTTGGGACTGGGAAAGAAGAAATAATTTCACTCTTGTAGTACTACAGGGAAGGGGCTTTGGGCAGCCAGAGAGCAACACAAAAACGCTGAAAAGTTAAGATGATGGGAAAGTATTTAACCTTTTGAGGGTGATGGATATGTTCATGATTTTGATCGGGATGATGATTTCACTGGTATACATATACATCAAAATGCATCAAACTGTACACTTTACTGTATTTCAATTTTATTTCAAAAAAGCTATTAAAAAGTTAGATTGGAGGGAGAGGCATAGGTGAGAGATAACCAAATCTTATCTATGACTTAGGTCTAAAAGTGTCCACTGAAAATGATCTTGTGGTACTATTTTTGGTAGGCACCTGATGGAATTGAGACATTAGGATACCTGAGGTTTTAAAAAATCTCAGTGTCTTTCCAGTTCCTTTGTACTCTAGTCTGTTTCTTCCAGTTCCTTTGTATTCTAGTCCATTTCTTCAACTCTAGGCGTACTTGTAACAAGGAATATTGACCATCAAACAGAACGTTTTATAAAAATTAGAAGCTTAAAGCCATTTAAGAAATGTAGTAAAACTGCTAGCAAATGAACCTCAATGGCCTACATACAGCTCTAGCAAACAAATAAATTATAAACCTAGAGTAAGGATATTACAGCAACACAGACCAAGAGCATTAGGGCTGCTGACCTCAACAGCAGCCACCATCTGGAGATGAGTGGGCTGACAAAGTGATATCAAGGATTTCTATAGTCCTTTGTTATTTAATTTCATCTGGTATTATGTACTATAAGTAACAACCAAAAAAAATCACAAGCTAAAGAATATTAATTTTAGAACATTAATTGTAATATATGTAGAGAATATTAATTTTAGACTCAATTCAGTATACAACCTAGTGCAACAAACATGCTTCTCATTTCTATGGGATATCAATCAAGTAAGCCACAAGTGATTAAAGAGAGTCAAACTAAAATTCATAAATTGATGGTAAAGTTTACCAAAATTAATAAAAGAATGTAAGAGCTATATTCACGTATGCAAAATTACCTCGGTTTGGTCAAACACAGTCAGTGGGTCACTTATTCCCCTGTAGTTAAAGGCAAAGTAGAAGTAGATACATGCACCTGCATCGTAAGTCTGCGTCACCCTAAAAAACAAACAGACAAAATCCCCACAACGCTTTAAATTAAATGAAATCAGATTTAATGTCTGAAAACTTAAAAGATCATCTGAATGATTTGCTTAAGTCATAATCTCATTCTCTACCCAGCCTCCCACTCCATAAAAGGAACAAAGATGGGCTTGGATGAAGGCTATACAGAAACTATTTGTACTATTTTTACAACTTTATTTGGTAAATCTGGATTAGTAGCCCCCAAAAGTTTAAAAATTTAAAAACAATGTAAATGTTTCTCCAATTGGTCTGAAATAAACAAAAGCCCCACCTTCTCAGAAGGGATTTTTATTTTATTTTATGAAGTATATTGTAGCTAAAAACAGCCCCAAACTACCTGGAACTTGGTAATCTACCGTAAGTCTTCTAAACTTCCTCAAAATTAACAGAAATAAATACAAGACCTTAAAACTGGGAAACAAGAGAAATGTACAAATACCAAAAATGATCAGACTAGGTAAAATACATCTTCACTGAGTTCACATTGATAATCTGTAGGGACTTTGAAAGCAAAGTGAATGATCCTATCAAATGCACTGACATGGCCTTAAAATAGCATCTCTGGGCCCCATATGAGTACATGTTACACGGGTATTTACAAACGATACCTAGAATGTTAGATTGTTAAATCATATAACTATATATATTTGGGCTTTCAAAATGCAATTAGGTGAATCATTTAAAAGGGAGCTAAGGTAATCATAGTTAAATCTCCGAATGCAATTTACAGAGGTTCCCACAAAGAATTTAATTCAACAGAAGGAGCAAATACAGAGGAAATACTCTTTTTACTACACAATACAAATAGAATCTAATCTAAAATTTTAATGCCCTTTTAGGCCAAATGTTAGGTGCCTCAGAACAGAAGAAATGAACTGTTTAACAATGGTACTATCAATTTGCCAGCTGTGTTTTTTCTAGTGTTAATTCGCACCCATAAAAAAGATCCCTTGAATGTTTACATTTTAAGTACCAGATTTACAAAGTTTAAGAAAAACTAGAGAACCATTTTAACTATGACAGCATTATCATTTCAAATTTAAATAAACTTCAAGGGTACGAGACTGAAATGAGTTTATAGAAATTAGTAATATACATCACTATTCTTATGAATCGTTATCATCAATAAATAGAAAAAATAACTAAATATTAATAGAGTATTGCCACCTTCCAACAAATCCAGAATCAATATTACACAGTTCAGTTTTCAGTAGATAAAGAAGCTTCTAAAATCACAACAGAGCTTGATTGATCAGTATCTCAAAGAAAGGCAAAGTAGAAATCATGAAAACACCTTTTAGAAAACTACCATTTGGGTCCATTTCAGATAATGACTCAGATCTAACACCTTTTAATAGATCAATTCTATCACTTAAGACAAGTTAAACACTAACCGATTCCAAAATCATCTTGATAAGTGATAATGTGGTTGCCAGTTATTCTACTATTCTTTAAATTTCTAAAAGTGCTTGTGCTCTACACTTTTTGGAGTATTTTACTTGTGTCAGATTCCCTTGCTAGGAATTCCTTTCCCTAGAACTTCTTCAGAAAATTTAGGGTTGGAATTTCTATTCCAGTAGACAAAATACCTTTTAACAAACAGAAATGAAATAAACTCAATAAATGCACCCTACAGCTAAATTATTTACCTTGGGATCTTTAATTTCAATGATATCTATAATTATTTTAAATTAATTTTGAAATAACTTTTTAGAAAACTAGTTTAAAAAATATATCTCACACATTTACATTCAACAGAAACTATTGAGCAGTTAAAGTCAAACTAAACTAAAATCAAATTCTTGTTAAATGTTGGTTTAATCAAGTATGAGTTTACAAAACTATATTTAAAACTCTTATTTATCAAAACCATTCAAATAATTAGACTTTGCACATTCTAAACTTTGGTTTTATAAGATGATCACAGAAGTTGAGCATTTAAACTTTTGAGAAAATTATTTCTATAAAACCAGCTACTTAATTAATGACATATGGCCAATTCAGTCTAACTACACCAATTCTACCTATCTACAATACATAATGAAGATCCTTAGGTCTTGTGAGTACCTTCTGAAGAACCAAGACTTAAGTGTTGTTATAGAAGATGTCCTAAGGCAGTATATTTTATTTCCCAATCACTTTCAATAAGCAGTGGTTTATCACAATGATATTTTCATAATGGAAAGGGAGAAGTCTCCAGGGACGCTGAATAGGGAGGTGGGGCAGAAGGAGAAAGGGGAGATAAAATCTGTTACGTTGCCACCGGACAAAACAAAAGAATAAAAACTTCTTAACTACACAAGAATAGATTCTATTATTTTAAGTGTTTCAAATTTCACTGGTAACAAATGATTTTTGGATTATTAGGCCTGGTTTGTTTTCAGTATAATAACAACAGGCCTGACAGACCAGATTGTCATGAGAAGAATTAAGTACAGCAGGTGCTCAATAACATTGTTTCATTCAATATTATTATAAGGTTGATGAGATGTCTGATGAGATGCAGCAGGAACTTAACTCTTTCTTATATTATTAGCCTATGGTAAAATTAGTTTTATTACACTTCGTTTTGCTTAAAGTCACAGAACCTATTGACATTAAGTGAGGACTTGATGTATCAATTTGGGTAGATAATATAAATAAACACAAAACATTTTTTTTTGGTAGACTTTAAGGACTTTAAGAAAAAAATTTGTTTTAAAGATGCCTCTAAATTTTTTAAAAAGTACATTCTTACACTCCTATTTGGAAAGGTTCTCTCCAAGATCAGTCACTAAGCCATCAATAGCTTTGCTATTATAACCCTTGTACATAACAAGGCCCCCTATTTCCCTTTCTTCAGATATAACAAATACCCAGCGAATAAGCTCTAAATCCACATTTTTAGCTTTCACTTCTTTGACTCTACCCTGAATATACATGTTCTGCATGTTAATACTGACTTGATTTGGTACTTCCTGAAATGCTCTTCAAATCCTCTTTCTCACCAGAAGCAGAAAAGACTATATCAAAGGATCCCGATTTACATGAACATTAATATTCCCCTCATCTCATGTTAGGATTTTACTCTTTTACCCAGCAGATGCACAATTTATCAAATTCTAAAAGATGTCTGTTTCAATGAGAGCAATAAGTAGAACCAAGAAACAAAATATGGCAGTAGGGAAGTACAAGATGAGAGATGTAAAAGAAAAAAGAAGAGAAAAGAAGAAAAAAATCACAGAAGAGATAGCAATTTAAAGAGTATAGAAGTATTTCTAGTCTTGCAAGCAAATATACACAAATTATCATGCTATGTCAAAATATCAAGAGGGCTTAACAATTGGATGCCTTTATGAGGATCTGTCTTTGGGAAGAAAACCGAAATATCCAAATTTTCCTCCCTAATACTAGTATGAATTGTCTACTTCAATCTTGGTATTTACATTAAATCTTCATATGCTTTCTCATTTCATTTGTACAATAGTCCCATCAGGCAGATGATATTACTGCTACTTTACTAATGATAAATTTAGAGCTCAAAGAGATTAAATTACTAATAAACAGTGGAACAGTACTTTCACTCTTCAGACATATGTAATGTTACAAAACAAAGAAATTAAAAACTAAGCAGGAAGTTGTCATGGTGATACAACTGGCAGGCAGGACAAGTACAGGCCCTTGGGTTGGAACAGGCACAGGTCTGCCTTCCCAGGCTGAGAGTAAGTGATTCCAAGGAAATCAGAAGAACAAGGGTCAGGTATAGAAAAATGCTGTTGTGCTCAAGTATAACTGTTGTTTCCGAGCCCAGCATCTGGTGCATTTAATAATAAAGATATTACATTATTTCCAAAATTACCTAACTCTTATTCATGCTTATATCGATTTTGGTTTCTAGAATGAATATTGGGGTTATAGTCTTGAAAACCACACACACACACACACACACACACACACACACACCGGAAAAAAGAGAGGCAGTCATATAATACCGAATGTTCAATAAATTTACTTTAAAGTTCCCCTGTTCATGATCTGTCCTAACTTCTCTTTATTCTCCATTCCAATTAATTGTATAACTTATTAGAAAATTCAAATGCTCAAGTCAATCTTTTTTTTAGAAGAAAATCTATTTTTTTAAAGCATGAAAAATCTGATAATAATGAATAAAAAATTATAAAATTGTTTAAATAAAGCTGCAGTTTTTATTTGACATTTCAATAGCATTAACTTTTTAAAAAACTTTTTTTTTTAATTCAAAATATTACACATGCTAAGTGAAATAAGCCAGGCAGAGAAAGACAAACATCACATGATCTCACTTATATGTGGAATCTAAAGAGCTTAATAAACTGATGGACAGAACAGATTCAATGACTTGGAAGCATGGACCAGACTGACGAATGTCAGAGGGAAGGAGGGGTGTGGGTGGGTGGAGGGGGAGAGATTAACCAAAGAATTTATATGCATATATGCACAACCCAAGGATGCAGACAATGGGATGGTGAGGGACTGGGGAGGGGGGGAAGGCGGGGTGGAACGGGTCAATGAGGAGAAAAACGGACATAAATTCAATCTTAATACATTTAATCTTCTGGTGTTTACATGGAAAGTTAATATAAAAAGATGTAGTACAAAGCACCCCTTCTCAAGAAAACTTCCATCTGAGCTGTTGCTATTTAATAAAGTTAACAAGACCTTCAGTTAAACATGATCCAATATGGGCCATGACTACCCAATATGAAAGATACTAGCCACAAGTGTCTTAAATTTGAATTTTAATTATTTAAAATCAAATAAAATTTAAAATTCAGTTCTAGTCACACTAGCCACATTTCATCAGCTCAACAGCCACATGTGCCTTGTGGCAACCATATTGGACAGGGCAGATACAGAACATTTCCATTATTGCAGAAAGATTTATTGGAAAGCAGAGTTAATCTTCATTTGGGTCTTTTGCTCCACTCATTTCTTAATTTCTCACCCATTCATTTAATTAACAATAGATAAAATGTTTGAAGTGCTTTTTCTCTATTGAAGAGAAAGCTAAGTTGCCTGTGTATATAACTTATAGTTCCCTGACTATATATGTAATTTACAGTTTCAGTGAAGGTCTTCTCTTATTCCAGGAGCTCAGGCGTTTGGGTCTTCACCATCATGCTGTCCACACAGGGTACAAGGCTCACTCGCAGAAGGGGTGCTCTACACCTAATGGGTCAGGGCTGCTGTAAATGCTAGTGGCACGATCCTAACAAGGTGGCAAGCTTCTCTTCAGCTGGCCAATTACACTTCTCCATTAATTAAAAAATTGTTGTTTTTTCAGAATAAGAAGTATAAGAACAATAAAAAAACCCACCTGCATGTAGAAAGAGGAGCAAACTGAACACCCTTCTCTTTGCATTCCTTTATTATTCTTTCTTTTACATTTCTACAGAGATCTACAACCCTAGAAAACATAATTGAATACCATATTAAGTTTTCAAATAAGTTACAAACATTCTAATAAATGCTGCTTTATCTGGCATCCAAGTCAGAAATTCTCTTAACTTTAATATTTATTCCTTCAAAAATGAAAAAGAGGCTTTATATCATTCAAATTGAGCTTTCCATTCATAACTTTCAAGGGAGCAAAGTCCTCTCTTTTTTTGCCATAGGAAAGACAGAAGAGCATACTCAAGTCTCTGGAAGACAGTTCCCTACACTTAGGAAAATTCAATTTCAAAATAAATTTAATTTCACAATTTTAAAAGCTTTAAAGCTATAAGCAACATGTTAATAAAAATTCAATTCTAGATTATAGAAATACCAATCTTATATCCATGTCTAAAAGTTTTCCTTAATTTAAAATAATTTAATTAATAATCATGATGTTATACCACACGTTCATAGCCTATTCTCAAGCACTGAGCTAAAATCCAGCTCAACAATGACTTACTGGACATGTAACCCTGTGTAAAGCTAGGCTAGACTGTATGATATTAAGTCAATGAAAACGGTGAGGGACAATTAATAATATTTAACAATATTAATGTTTTAATGTGAGGTGTAACACATTGTTATAACTGCATACTTTGTTTCATATGGAAAATAAAACTCTTAAGGTATATAAAAGCCATTTTATTCTCCAATAAATATCCTGGCTATGTACTGACACTGATTCTGTTTTAAACCTTGGTCTGGTTAGAATCATGAGAAGAGAAAAGATACCAAAGAAACTTAGAAGGATGACCTATTTCTAGTCTCAAGACTGATTTGACCAATGTGATAAAAATAACATTAAATGAATTATGCTTTATAAAACATTAAAGTTATCTAAATTTCCAATAAGAACAAAGAATATATGATTAAAATATATTAAAAGGAGTTTAGTGTTTTATTAGCATGTCAAATTTTATTTTTATAAATACAGTACCTAAAAGTTTTATAAATTCTAATTTAACAAAACAGTGCTCTTAAGTTAACTCTGCTTTATTCTATGGGAGCTGCAAGCAAACACAATTTATCAATGTTATCTATGCTTCATTTATGGAATGGTAAAACTGCATGGTTTTCTTAATCCTCACCTGAGTGTATGTTTGCTGATTTTTTAGAGAATGGGTAAGGGAGAGAGAAACATCAATTCTCCCATACACACTCCCAACAGATGTCAAACTCGAAACCTACTATGTGCCCTGACTGGGAATTGAACTAGCAACCTACTATGTGCCCTGACTGGGAATTGAACTAGCAACCTTTAGGTGCACGGGACAACATTCCAATCAACTGAGCCACACCGAACAGGGGAAGAATGCATGTTTTCTTAACTCTCTGGTAAAGCATTTAGATTATTGAAATTTAATGTGTTTTTATTTTGAAAATCCAACTTATAAAACAAATACTTAAAATGTAAATAAAACCTACTAATCTTTTAATATTTATAGGGGTTAATAAATGTTACAAATTTATAAAAATAACATGTTCTTTTTAAAAAACATATGTTTATATTGACTTTTAGAGGGAGAGGAGGAGAGAGAGAGAGAGAGAGAGAAATAGAAACACCGATGAGAGAGAAACATCATTGATCAGCTGCCTCCGGCACGCCCCATACTAGGGATTGAGCCCACAACCTCGGCATATGCCCTGACCAGGAATCGAGCTGTGCGTGACCTCTTGGTTCCTGGGTCCACACTCAATCACTGAGCCACACCCAGTGGGAGAAAGTAACAAGTTCTTTATCATGACTCTAAAAATGGAATTTAAGTGCTATACAGTAATAATAACAAATAATAATAATGAGGAAAAGGAGATGGGACAAAGAACAAAACTGAATGGTTATAACCCTTAATGTGAAACTCTCTAGAAATGATTTGTAGGAAGGGAGTTCTGAAAGTACTCTCTCACAAAACTTGTGCAAAGGTCGATACAGTCCACTTGGACCAATCATATAGGAGATAAATATAACTGTGTACTTTTATTTTTATAGCTACTTCCATTCCACAAATGGAAAATAATTTAGCAGTTTCTTTTAAAAAAAACTAAACCTACAACTACTATATAACACATCAATTGCACTCCTGGGCATTTATCCCAGAGAAATGAAAACATGTTTATACAACTTGTATACAAATGTTTACAGCAGCTTTATTATTTATTTATTTAATTTAGCTTTATTGTTGAAAGTATTACAGATGTCTCCTTTTTCCCCCCATTGGCCCCCTCTGCCCTGCCCCCTCATAACTGTGTATACTTTTAAATTCTCACCTGATCTATTAGCAAATGTAACATCATTGACCATTTCCATCTTGAAAAAAATTCCCCTGGGCTTCTCACCTTACTGGTTTTCCTCCAAATCCTCCAGATAGTATTCCTCAGTCTCCTTTGCTCTTGTTTGTATGACTATCCCTTAAATGTTGAGGTTCCCTGGATTTCTTTCTTAGGCCTGTTTTTCTTCATCCATACTATCTGTGTTTGTATCTGCTCCCTTGGTTTTAATCACATGCTGGTGTATCCAAAATCCTTAAATCTCCATTTGGCCCTCTTAGATCACTACTTTTACAGGCTGCATTCTAACACTATTCTAGGGCACCTCCAAAGAACTCTATGCAGGCTATTCACTGAGCACCCAGGTGCAGTCATGCGAGGGCCACTGAGGAATATGCAAAACTAGGAAGACGAGTAAGACCAATAATCCCTTAAGAGATTTATGTATGAAAAGGCCAAGTGACCTAATAATTCAGGGTTGAAGACCCTGATCCCATGGGTTGCTGCTAAACACGGTCTCTATCCAGTTAAAGGCTTGAAAGAAAAACCAGTGCTAAATGGGTAACAAAATTTTGTGTCAGGAATGTAGCTGCTTTCCCTTAATTTTATTTATTAAAACTTCAGCTGAAGAAGTTGCTTTAAATGAAAACAAACCAAATATGTAGTCTTCTCTATAAAACAGATATCGCCAGTGAGTCAATTACGTAAATGTATAAGTATATACAAAGAAAGGATAAAGAGAAATAAAAGGTAGCGCATGTCTAGCTTCCACAGTGGGGAAAATAAAAAGACAAAATGACAACCATCAGTTAGTAATAACTGGTGACAAGAAAATATATACTACTGAAGAAGTAACACTACACTAACCTACTTTCCCCTACAAGGAAAGGTATTAAACACTAAAATGGTATATTTGAGACAACTGTGAACAGCTGCCAAACTATACCTGTTGTTCAAAAGTGTCAAATGTCAATGAGTTGGTTAATTCTTTTTATTTACAAGATTTATTCCCCCTTAAAATTAAATTAAATTTATCACCAAAAGCTGTGATTAACAGATCCATACTACACAATCTGGTTATCTTACAATGCATGCAATATGAGCATCGATGCACCCAAAGTCATAACCCATAATAGATGAAGACTGAATGTAGAAAAGTAAAAAGTTTTCTGGGGGAAGAAAAAAGAGGTTAGGGTAGAACAAAATGTTAAGCTATGTAATAACTAAAAGATGGATTCACGGGGATTTGTAAATTTAAAATAATTTGATTTTATAAAGAAAAAGTAAAATGTAAGGCATCCTAGAATAAAATGTACTAAGATCTCCTTAAGAATTTTTTATCAAAAAATGAGCTAACTCACAAGTCTACTTTTTTCTTTTCTTTTAAGAGGACCTTTTTAAAAATTGACTTTTAAGAGGGAGAAATGGAGAGAGAAAGACAGAGAAACATCAATATACGAGAAATTCATCGATCATTTGCCTCCTGTATGCCCCAGCCATGGATGGGATCAAACCTTCAACCTAGGTACATGCCTTGACTGAGAATTGAACCCATGACCTTCTGGTGCACAGGACGACGCTACAACCAAATCAACTGAGCCACACCAGCCAGGGCACACAAGTTCACTTTTAATAAAACCACTTCACATTTCCTAATCCGTTTTTATTATTAATTCCCTAACCAATATCCATATGTATATGTGTATGCAATTTAAAAACAGTACATAATTTTTTAAATTGGATATCTTTCAGATATCAACTAAATGCAAGTTAAGGTCTTGCTTAATAATAGCATGCATACAAATATCAAAAGCTAAATGATATATCACAAAAAAATTAACTGGTTTTATAATTTGGGGGCACTTTTTAGAGAACATGTAAGCATATTCATCATTTAAGAATTCAAATCAAAGTTAAGTAAAACCACACAGTGACATTTAGTGTTCAGTAAGATTGTTTAAATTATTAACTTCAGTAATAGCTTCCTTCTATGGGACATGAACAAATTTGCTGCAAAACAAAAAAATGGCTTGCAAATATGACAGTCTGATGGAGATAATAATTTAAATAAAGGTGTTTATGATATTGCAATGTTTCTTTATAAAATTTTAAGTTTACATATTCACACACAGACATTACTTGAACAACTTGTGGTGTATTTTAATAGCAGGTATTTTATTCCATTTTACCTGTCCCAGGGAGCAGAAGTCTCAAAAGATTCTCCTACTACATAGTATTCCAAACCCAAGTCCTGTTAAGACACATACACAAAAATCAAGAAATTACAACAGATGTAGAAGAATCAATAATATTGTTTATATTTCATGTTCAACATTAGTATTTCATGTAATTGTTGGTATTACATGTTTCTACCTTAATTTCCATGGATATTTATTATTCACCTCATAAGAGCAATGGAAAGTGGCCCCAAGAGTGAGATATAACCTCCAGGAGGACAGGGACTTTGTCTGCCTTGTTCTCCTCTGTACTGTTGGCACCAGGCAAGGTGCCTGACACATGATAGGAACTCAAATATTTCTGCAATAAATGGAGTCTCTATCCAGGAACTGTCTATGTGCATGCAGAGAATACTAGCAGAACAGGTTTTTAGTGCTTAATCAACAAATTAATCAATTACCCAAAAAAGGCCATCGGGATAGAAGGAGCAGAGAAGCAGGAAAGTGGGGGGGGAAGGGAGACAGGAAGGAGAGACTAGAGGAAGGAGAAGCTATTTCCCTTTCTTAAAAGCAACTTTTCTTTAAAAACAAATTAGAAAATATAGTGCCTCTCTCAGCAGTGACTGAATAAACAGAACATTTGGAAATAGCACTGCTGGGACTATATATATTTTATACCATGGAAAATATAATGTTCATATAAGTAACTTACGATACTAATTTCTTTACCCAAAGTACAATTCTGTAGTTTCAAAACTGAAAAGAGCAATTCACAAGCCATCACAGAAGTATAAAGAAAAGAAAGAAAATTTTATAAGGCAGAGGAATCAATACACATTAAGTTTTCACTACTAGTAAAATGAACCACTTCAACTCTACCACTGGTTGACAGAAAAAATCCTAAAATTACTGATCTAAAATTTGTGTTTTTCTCTCATGCATTCATTTATTCAGTAAACATACATTTGGTGACAACAGTATTAAGCACTGGGAAAATAAAAATAAGATGAAACAAATAATCTCCATCCCTCCTCTCCCTAAAAATCTCTAACTTGCTTTTCATTAAGTTTTAACATTAACTGTAACCTTAATAATTAAGAAACTTATTTCAAACTGTGTCTACACGGTACTTGTTACAGTTACATTTCATTTTCTAGAATTATGAATTTAGTATTATGAGAAAATGGCCAATATCTTCAGAGAAAATGCCTAACAAACAAAATTTATGTATACCCATAATGCTTATTATGGGAGATCTTGAGGTAGTGACAGACTATGGAGGTAAAAATTATTTTAAGACTTAAAATAATCTATTACCTTTCACAATCTGTAAATCTGTTCATCACAATCTCTAGCACAGTATACAGGCAAGAAATGTACTTTTTGTTATCAGAATGGTGGGGGAGGCAGAAGGGGGGAAACTATAAGATGACCTACATGCTTCAAATTCACTACACTCTGAAATTTAGATCTTACCTAGGATTAAATTATTTTTTAAATGAGAACACAATTCAAGCTTTCTTAGAGAAGTAAAAACAAATTTTATATAAGTTTATATAAATATTTCCTTCAAAATAATTTCCAAGTGAAAAAATGAGAAAATTCAGTATCTAGGGAAGCCAAATTCTCAATAGGATAGCTGAGAAATGACCTTTTAAAACAAGACCCTTTAAATTACATAACAAGCTGTATTTTTTAAAAAGTAACCTTAGCAATAGCAGAAAACAATTTAAAAGCTTGAATTGTTGCAGCCAAAGCAGAAAAACAAAACAAAATACATGAAAAAATGAGTAAATAAACTTTCAAAAGAACACTTTCATATCAACATATAGAAGACTCTTGTGGTTAACATGACCAATCAAGTTTCTCACAAATAGAAAATCTAAAATTAGAAAGATTTTAGAACTCAAATATACACAAATTATTTCTTTCATTCTATACAGTAATCGTCACCAGTGAATCAATAACTACTTGGAATCAAGTTAAATATCAACTTTTAAAGACAGTTAAAGAAAGATTTATATAACTAACAGATTATGGATCAACTGTGGAATGCTGCTAAATAAAAACTTGATTCTAGGAACAGCATGCTCAACTTTCAGACAGAGAAAGGCTCCATTCTTCTAAAGAACAGAAAGACCTACTCAAAATCTTTAACTTCCTCAAAAGCATATGTGGAAGGTTTAATTAATAAACAAAAATTATCTCTAAGACCTAAAATCATCTATTACCTTTCATGATCTGTAAATCTGTTAATCACAATTTCACCCCAGCACATAGGCATGGCAAGGGGGAGCGGGCTGCAGGAGGACCTATCAAATCACTGCAATCTGAAATTTATATCTTACCTAGGATTACACTAAAGTGCTTACTATGGGAGAACTTGAGGTAGATTTGCAGCTAATCCTTTGTTCCTATAAAATGATATGCTTACTTACACTTGGTTAAAATTTAAAAAAACAATTTTATTCATTCAAAGTAAGAAAAAGTATTGTTTGTAAATAATTTGACATGGGAAATATAACTTACTCGAATGTATGCAATGACATAGGTCAGCAAATAACCTCTCTGTCCATTATCTTCTCCAGCTGCCAATCCACTGTAATTAAAGAACTGTTAATAAATATCAAATGAACTATTAAAAATATATAAAACTAACCAAGTTGATATGACACCTTAAGATAAATGCTTAACAGATTAACATATATTACACTGCATCTCATTTTTATTTTACTCTCATTTATCATAAATATAGCAAAGGACCATCAAGAGACTAAGCTTCAATAACAAAACACTGAAAGCACATTTAATATTTCAGTTTGGTCATTAACTTCCAACTTTTATCAACCACACTAATAAAACTGACTCATGAACTCAACTACTTCTATCTACATTGTCAAAAGAAAATTAGACATGGGAAACAAACCTAAATAATCTTCACAATAAAACTGAGAAATTTAAAATACTCTTGTTTTATTATTATATTCTGATTCATATATTCATGTGAATATATTTTATTCATATATAAAAATGTGTAGTGATTGACTAGGATCTTCCAAATACAAAGACGTTTCTTGAATACTAGAGCACATAGTATTTGGAGTATTACACATGGTGTTTATTTTATGGAACTTACGAGTTAAATGATAGAAAACATACACAGAAATATTAAAGTTAATGAAGCAACATACAGACAAGTATTAGTCCAACAGGTAAGGTCTTAATACTATGGACACATGAACTGTCCATTTCCATTAGAAAGTAGTTTTATCCATAGAAATTGCATTCAGTGATCCAGTTAGCATTAATCCATATAACAGTCTAAGTGTTCTGCTTTGTGAAAGACATTCTTATTTTAAAAGACTATGAATGATTATTGATTTCCACTACTTTCAGTAAAGACTTTTTATTTTTGCTTCTTTCCATCATCAGGCAGAAATTAAATTTTAACTATTCTTAGTCAACTAAATAAAATCCCAAACTCTCAAAGTACCCATAAAAAATCAATAAAACTAGATAAAAAAAAATCTTTCCTTGTGACTTTATTGGGTTACAATTAATAATTAACTGTTATGTCTCTCTTTTCAATACCCTAACTGTACCTCCTTATTCTCAGGATGCTGAGCCCTTAACCATGGTGTTGCTCAAGGCTCGGGTCTTGAGACTCTGTGACTTGAGCTTCTTCTGGAAGAATCATTTCTCTTTATGGCTTCAATGAACACCCTATAGTTAAATCGTTCCCCTTCCCCCGAAATTTTGCTTGGATTTGATACTAAGTAAATAACGCAATGTAGATGTACCCTTGGTCTACACAAATATTGTAAGGCACTTTTAGGCTAGGATATGGGCTAAATCAGGTTTCCTGACTTAGAGTTATAGCTGGATATATTGGAATTAGTGTCATCCAGAGGAGTAGCAAAGACTGATAGGGCAGCTCTAGTCTACAACTACTAGGGGACAGAGTATGATGAAATGAAGAAGACTGTTTATATTACTAGAATGTTAATGAGTGAGGATGAGAGAACTTATGTCAGCTAGCTAGCTAACAGTGAAAGTAAGAAATAGAAGAGAATTCTGGGTTGGATGTGTATGGATGTGAGGTTGGGGTAGGCAGTCAAATAAAGTTCCAAAACAAAAAGGAAGCTAGTCAGAAAATTACTGTGTAAGTGAGAAGCAAAATAGCTGAGCCCATATCTCAGGTAGATATGAAACAGTCAGACACAGTCCAAGAGAGAAAAAAAACACTACTGATCTAGGAAACATAAACAGTTCATCCTGGGCCTAGTGCTGGAAGGAAAGAAAAGGAAAGACAGTGAAGACTAGGAAAGGATGCAGAACATCTGCACTGGAAATCTTTGAGAAGGCGCTTTCTAAGTGTGTATATGGTGAGAAGTAACAGTAGGGACTGTCTCTCTTATATTAGCATGAGAAAAAGTCCTACTTTGCAGTCCCAGTCAAGCCATTTTTCTTTAGACACTCTTCTAATATCTGGCGGGGTGAGGGGACTTGGTTCTACTTTGGAAACAGGTGTGACAAACCACACAGAACCATGCATTTTCTTATCTAGAGCAGGAAGAAATCAGATGTTCATTCCGAATTCATAAACCAAAGGAGAAGAAAAGTCATTCTGGGTTTGCTTTTCTGAATCACACATTTTCCCTGCAAATTTAGCCTTTTGGAACTTCTCTCTTTCTCTCTTCTTTTTTCAGTTTTCAGAGCTATCTATCTTCTAGCCAGAATTACCTTAAGATACCATATGTAAGTAACAAGAGGGCTTAGAAATTAAATGCTTCTAACTTGACACTTTTGCAGCCATCCCAAAAAAATAAGATTCAAACTGTTTTACATTAAAGTAGCAACATCCATCCCCTACACCTCCTGCTCCCTACCACAAATTTCAAACAACAATTAACAAGGTTCTTAAACAAATTTAAAGCTATTTCATGAGGAAGGACTGGGAAGACTAATGAAAGAGGAATGAAAGACAATCTTTTTACATAAAAGAGCCATCTGGTGAACCTAATCACTCTCGTGTTGAATTAAACAACTTAAGCGCATACTTTAAAAATGACGGTAACATATTACCTGAAGCTGTATGGTAAAATGTCAATAATTTGTCATGATTGCTGACAGGTGATGTTTATTCTGCTTAGCTCTTAGAAGTTAAAGTACACTACTAGCCAACATAGATAAACAACCAAAGTATGATTATTCAACATTTGGCTACTATGTTCTATTCGATTGTATGTGTTCGAAGGTATTTAACAGTGTTTGGGTTGAGGTGGAAGACAAGGAGTTGAAAAATGGCTAAGATAAAAATGTTTTAAACTGTTAGAAATACTGCATTAAAAACTATCAATTTAAAGCTAATGAGGTGGTAGGAAAAGAGGATTCAAAAAACCAGAAAATAAAGAATAGATTAATAATACCCTAATTCAAAATAAAATACATTAGCTAAACCAGCAATGAAAACTTTAGCAGAATGAAATTTAGTGGTGCTTTCTTCCCATGTAGTTATGCAGAAGGAGAAATGATTGAGAAACAAGGGTTAGCAAAGTGGCATCCTAAACGAAAATTAATCCTGAATCTTTCAGTGATTAGAACAAAGACCTAGCCCCTAGAGAGAACTGGGGGCAAAAGAGGACTTCTAGAAAACCACACGAAGATATTTCCAAGTATTAAAAAAATCAAAAGAACCCTATGTCATGTGCCTAATGACAGCCTGGGTTGTTCAATACAGAATATTTCTGCACTGAAAGGAAGGGAGCCAGGATGAAAGTATACTAAGAAGCTAATTATAACATAACTAAGAAGTAGTAATACTTTACCTTTGCTTTAAATAGATAGCTCATTTTCCATAACCTATTTTTAATGAGTGAATTTGATACAAGTTTTGTTTCCTATAAGCAAACTGCTAGAATTAAATCAATAGTTCTGGGGCCTCAGTATCAGTATGTAAAAAGACCTGGATTCATCTTAAAGATGATTCATTCTTACTTTTGAGTTGTAAATGGCTGGTGTTAAGAGAGAAAAACAAAACTGGCATTACATGAAAAGACAGTTCATGACAGTTGGTGGCTCAAATTAAATAAATCTGACAAAATAATTCTGATAAATACCTAAAGATTAAAATACACCAGGAATAAAAACAAATATTCACAAAGAACTCAGATTAAATACAATGTGTATGATATATTTTAAGCTCTGGAATAAAAAAGACGACGGGTATCCAGAAAATTGTTAGTTTATGTACTTAAAAAGGAAAGGAAAATAAATGTAGTCCTGATAAATGGCATTTCCACTATAGTTCCCATAGATCAATCTTATAATCCATCAAGTAGACAGACAGAAACCACCCAATCATTATTCAGTTGGTTATAAATGTGAAATGTTTTCTGTTTCTTTATACCAGCACAAAACAGTAAGTGACAGGGGGTGGAGTACAGGTAATTCATCAAATACTTTTGATTAAACACAATTTCCTTTTAAAAACATACTAACAGCATTTTTATATACATATTATTACCACTAAATAGTAACATGACTATGAATTTTTTCCTATTTCACTCTAGCACAACAGCAAATGTTATAAAATTAGCATTAATAGAAAAATATAGTATTTAATATAATCATACATATGATTACACAAGTAAGAACAACAGACCGATCTAACTTCCTACAAATTTTTAAAGTAAACACAACATTTTAAGTTGATTATCATATATTACCACAAATTCAATACTAGAAAGGGAACATTAACAACTGCTCGAAGATATCAGAATTTTAGCTTAACTTCCTCTTGGTATTATGAACTGAAAGCCATACCCAAATTTTGCAGCAATGTCATATACTTGTTTTTCGTGTTGAAGAACCTTCTCACGGTCCCCCTCGAACAGTAATGTAGCGACACTTAGCTGATTTGGATCAAATCCTTTAAACTACAAAAAATAAAATATTATTACAGATAAATCTTATCGTATAAAATAGTAAATAAAAATACATTTTGCTCCTTTTTTCCTTTTAATCTGGGCTCAAACACACCAATTCTTTAAAAATTGAACTTTGGTTGTTACAGAATAGAAATGGGGATATAATGTACAGCATAGGGAATATAGTCAATAATTCAGATGGGTGCAAGATTTATTGGGATGATCGCGTAGATATGTAACATCTAATCACTGGGGTATACACCTGAAACTAACATAATTATGTATGTCAACTGTAATTGAAAAATAAAAAATGATTTAATTTTTTTTTTCTAAGTGAACTTTGGAACTTCACATGGCAATCACATGGCAATCAAACAGAACAGTTGATGCACCTATTCAGGTTATCACAATATAATGGAACTATGAAAAAACACTTCACTTCAAAGTATGCCTCGGAATCAATTACAATGACATATTGGTATATAAACATAAAAATAACTCGTAAGAATTATAACTATAATAAAGAATCCAATAAAACTACCAAAATGATAGAAAACAATAAAGGATGTCAGGGGGAGTAAAAACTAACAGCATCCTTACATACTACAATAACTTATTAAATAATATTTTCAAAGGAGATCTTACATGCAATTAAAATACAAAACACCTAAGAATAATCATAAAAGAAAATATATAACTTCATTAGAAAAACATGCTTAAAAATATAAAAAATATGTTCCTGAATGCATAAACTAAGTATTATAAAACCTGTTAATTTTTGCCCAAATTAATAAACTAGTTTATCTTAATTCTAATAAAAATCTTGATGGACTTCCTAAAATGGTAAAGAGATTCTAAAATATTTTAGGCTAATAAACAGGTAGGTAACAGTGATAATAAGGAAAATTCAAAAAAACATGCCACACGGCAATTAGAATTCATTTATTTTTTTAGGAATAAAAGTTCATTAAAAACAATTTGATACGTTAAAATGGAGTTTATTTCTTGGATAAGTATATAAGATGTCTTGTGCATGGCAAATTAATATAAGAAAAGCAGGGATTAGTTAATGGTGCTATCACAACTGAGTAGCAATATGTGAAGAGGTAAAGATTAATTTAGATCTTTATCTTACATCATAAAAATGAAAAATTCAAATAGTAATAAAGATTTAAAAAATTTTTCATTTCCATTTAACAAAATAGTGAGAGAGAAGAAAATGGTCCTAACCATAGATCTGGAGAAAGGAAGGCTTTTCTAAGATTAGAAGCAATTAAATAATCACAGAAAAGGATATAAAAACTTGAAACTTTTACCAAAAAGAAAAACCCTTATTTGAAAAGGATTCATTGGCTGAAAAAATGATTATTTACATCATTTATGACAAAGGCATCTCATAATTTCATTACTTAAAGGGCACACACCAAAGCATCAAGAAAAAAAACATGAAGCTGCCACCTCTGGAGAAATAACCATATTCAACTAATTCACATAAAAATCTTATCTAGGAAATACAGGAAAATGGTCAGTCTCATTGGAGTTTCAAGACACATCTACTAAAATAAAGTACCAATTCTCCCCTGGATTAAATAAATTTAGAATATAAAACAAAAATCCCACTAGTAACAGCAAGGATGCAACAGAAAAATGGCACACATGTATTGCCAGCAGCAGTGTAAGCTAGTATAAACCTTTAGAAAAAGAAGTCAGCAATCAATAGTTTTAAAAAACCCATACTCTTATTTCACTTCAAGATATCTACTATAAAGGTAAAACTTCAAACTATATAAAAAGTGTTATATGCTTGAAACTGTTTAATGCAGTGTTATTTTTAGAAACTTCAAACCTGAAAAAATAATTTAATTTCTGAAATTGAATGCATCACTGATTTACTTTGATAAAATATCTAATCCAACATGAAAAATAATAATTATGAAATATACACAGCAACATGGAGAAACATACTTCAAAAAGGTACCTGTGAGGGGGAAGACAGGAAACAAATTCAATTAATATCCTAAGCACTTAAAATTTTAACATTTTATAATAATTCTTACCTTTGTAATATAAAACTTTTTTAACCCATCCAAAAATGATGTAAAAATAGAGGAAACCTGAGGTTTAAGAGCATGACCTAAAAAGAAAAAAGTATTTTAAATTAATAACAAATTTTATGTTTTTCAGAAGATCAAGAGGCTACTTTTAACTTAGTATCCTAAAAAAAAAGTGAATGTTTTCATAATCTTACTTTTCTAAATCTGCCCATTATACCTAACATATTGATCAAGATATACATCTTTTATTTATCTTCTTTCAAAAGTCACAAACAACTTTTTGTTTACAAAACCCCTTCTTGATTTTTTTAACTCAAATTACTCTATGTAATTAATACTACACATAGTTTAGGTTATCTTTCGATGGTACATTTTATACATAGTAAAATCACTTCATTAATTTTTATTTCATTAAGACCACCAATGGTGACTGGTTTTACTTTTATTTTTTTAATTATGCAGAAACCATTCAGAACTATAACCAAATATGAAGTCATTACCACATTTAAGGTTATTTCTTAATTAATTCTTAATTCATCCAGAATTCTTGGCATAAAACTAGTAATTGCTTCCTTCATCACACCCGGAGAGTTAAAATTGCCAAAGTAACATAAATGGTGTCTCAGAGTCTGTTAAATTAACAACGTTGCCTACGGATTGAGCTTAATTGAGTAAGAGTCTTTTACTGTTTTCTCACTGTTTTCAGAGTAGCAACTTCTTAACTCTCATGACTGTTATATTTAAGAGTCATTCATCTGACATTAGTGATATGAGACCAATTCAGAAAAATGTGGCATAACATTTATACAGAATTTTTATAAAGAACTTTAAAGCCTCTAGTAAATTTAAGTTATCTGTAAACAAAAATTTTATTTTTTAAAAAGGGCTTAAGGTTTTGGGATTTTGTAAAGTGTGGGCCCCTTCTTTAAAACAGGCACACACAGCAAACTAGTTTTTTGAAAAACAAACAAAATTTCTGAGGAAAAAACTATTACTCGCAGTCTTTTCTTCCCCACTTACTTTTTTTTTTTTAAGTGAGAATCTGAATCTGTAATATTTATTACATTTTTATTGATTTGGAAAGTGCATTACATAAAAGACCAGCTAACACTAAGTCTTCATCAGAGGCTAAGAGTTAGATATCATGCTATAACTGAACAAAGCAAAACACAACAAAAATGAAGGGCAGATTAAATAGAAATCAACCTAGCAATCTTTTTGAGCTCCTTGATCACAGTAAGAGATTTGTTTGGGGGTTTAATTTTCTTTTATTGTAACCTGTCAGAGATACTTCTCTAGCATAACCAGTGCTTTTATAGAAACCATTTCTAGCATGTATAAAGTTAGAAATAACATATCAAAGTATTCACTTTCTGTCACAAATGGAATTCATTCTACTTTAACAACTGGAAATAAATATATAAACATAAACATATGAGTGTGCATATTGTGTTCTTGTAAGAAATTGAAATTATATGTTCCTCAAACAAGTCTGTTATCCACATAATTTTTTTTTAAATATATCTTTATTAATTTCAGAGAAAAGAAGGAAGAAGGAGAAAGAGAGAAATAGAAACATCAATGATGAGAGAGTGATTTATCAGCTGCCTCCTGCAGGCCCCCTCCTGGAGATCAAGCCTGAAACCCAGGCATGTGCCCTGACCTGGAATCGAACCTCGATCTCCTGGATGACAGGTCGATGCTCAACCACTAAGCCACGCCAGCTGGGCTGATCCCCATAATCTTTACACAAGGTATGAGGACTCTAAATGTTACTACTCTGATGTGAAATAATCCTTAAAGGTATATCTTAACACACTGTACAATTTCTGTTAACACTAGTGGGAGTCAGTTACATATTCCTAATACTGAGTTGATGTGATAGCTTTAAAGCATACTGCTGTAACAGTGGTACTAACTTTTAAGTGGGTTAAACATTAGTATTAATTGAGCATATTATCTTTTACTTATTCTTAGATTATTGATGCCTAGCAAATTGATTACATTCTAAATATATTCCAGCTATTGTGTTTTATCTTTTATGGGAAACAAAGCAACTAGTTTCCAAATTTACTAGCCAGACAGTTTGATTAGTGACTTTTGTGTTGTAACAGCGTTAAATACTTGAAAAGGATTTAATAAACATCTACATTTCAAAGAAGTAACTGAGACAGTGGATCAGGCACATCTGGGTTCAAATTCTGCTCTACTATGTATGACTTATGGACTTGGACTGAAATTTTAAGCCTTTGAGTAATTTATAAACTAGGAAGACCATCTTAAGGAAGAGTTGTGAGGAAATGTTTGATAAATTGTGCTATTGATAATGTGCTTAATATTAGCACTATGCTATGTGCTATCCAAGCTGTTTACCCTCTTTTGATAACTTGATGATTAAGTCAGTCAACATGTAAGTGCCTGTTATGTGATAGGTTCAGGAGATATAAAAATGAATAAGAAATATTCCCTAAATTTGACAAGTTTTAGTTTATAGAAGTCTGTAAATCATTTTGATATACTCAATGATATATATCACTTCAAAATAATGTTTAGGCCTGATTTTCATTTGATTTAACTATTTCATTATTTATAGAACACATTTATCTTAAAGTTTTATTAGTAGTACAGTACTTTAAACGTAATTTACTTAAAAAAATAATAAAAATAAAAGTAATTTACTGAAAATAAAAGCCTGTGATAGACATAGGCGACTTTAATTAAAACTAACTCTTGATATGTCATGTACCCAACTTCCTTAGTTATTTTTTTTATTTTCTTATTTAAATATATCTTTATTGATTTCAGAGAGAGGAAAGGAGAGGGAGAGAGAGAGATAGAAACATCAATGATGAGAGAGTCATTGATTGAGCCCGCAACCCGGGCATGTGCCCTGACCGGGAATCAAACCCCGATCGCCTGGATCCTAGGTCGACGCTCAACCGCTGAGCCACGCCTGCCCGGGCAAGTTTTTATATAATAACCATTCTTACCTAAATTAAAATCCAAGCTCCTCATAGACAGAACAAACAAAAGACTATCTCAGCCTTTATATTTATTATTGAGTAATCATTCCCACAATGGACTGTTTCAAGGACTGTTCTGAAGGTACTTAAGTTCTATAAACTTAAATCCCAACTAAACTGAAATTTATGGAAAATATATAGGAGCAAAACTAGAATTAAAAAGATGAGAAATTGTGGGACAGGGTGGAATGGGTCATTGGGAAGAAAAAGGGACATCTGTGATATTTTGAACAAACAAACAAAAAGAATTACAATGGATAATAAATAAATAAAATAAAGTCATACACTCTCCCTCTTCAAAAAAAAAAAGATGAGAAGTTGTGTTATAAAGTTTAAAACTTTAAGCAAAAAATGGAGAAAAAGAAACACAGGTAACTGCTACTGAATTCTCCACCTAAATATTCCAATAGCACCTTAAAAACAACCCACTGTAATGTCTTTTCCCCATAAGTCATCATCCCTTCTAGGCTGTTATTCTACCAATCCAGTCAAGTCAGAAATCTGGGAGTTGCCCTCAACTCATACCTTTATTTAACCTTCTACATCCAGTTGGCAAGCTGGTCTTTGAAAAATCTATCCCTTACTCTCTATCTCCATTGCTGCTGCCTTGATCAAGAACCGCAAAATTTGCCTCCTGAACCATTTCAACTCCTCCTCCATGCTTGCATCACTCCAGTCTATCCTGCATAATGCTAGCAGAATGAGCTTTCTAAAATGTAAAGATGATTTATTTTATTTCCTCTACAAAGAAATCCCTTTGCTGACAAGATAAAATCCAAATCTATCCTGGAAAATCCTACTCCACCCATCCACCTTTCTCTTGTAACAACTCTGACTCTAATCTCTAACCACAGAGAACTAAAATATGTCACTAAAGTTTTACAATTTCATATTTTTTCATCAGCAAAAACTAGGAAATTGTAAAACCTTAATGACATATTTGGTAGGAGAGAGGTAAAGAGACCATCTCAGGCAAATTTCTATCCACATTTTAAGACTTAGCTCAAAAATCACCCTCCTTCAGGAGCCTTTTCTGTCTCTCCACCCAAACCTCAAGCAAAATCAAGTGGGCCATCAACCAACCCTCACTTACATACCAGGGTAGCCAGTGTAGTCTTTTGCAGTACCTCCATCGCTCCTGCATTCATTCATTTATATACTTTTCTGTTCTCATTAGACGGAGAGCTTCCTGAAGGATAGGAACTATGATGTTCATCACTCTAGCTCTGAACTCAGTAGTCTAACTGGCACATAACTGGTATTTCATAAATTTTGTGGCTTAATGAGCAGATTTAAAAATCACCATTTCTTACTTACCAAACTGAAACTGCAGGTTGTCCATGAGGCGAATAGATGCAGGAGCACACCTCTGTTTTAAAAAGAAAAAAATGTGATACAAATTTAATAAGGAAAGAAACTAGACAAGTAATATATGAATGTCATCTTTCTTCATAGATAAGTCTAAGAATTGTTCTTTCTTTCTATCCCTTCTCATAATCCATAGAAAAACTATCAGAAAGTATCTAGAATTCTAAGATCTTTCAAGATTATTTGCATGAAAACAGCTACAAAACTTTGAAGCATGAGATTATGTATCTAAAACATCTAAAACTGCACCAGTGTCAGGTTTACTTTGGCACACAATAAAAGCAGCATTTGAAACACAAAAGAAAAATAAGGAAAGCAGATATTCATATTAATTTTGTGATGCTAACACATTACAATACAAACACTGGCAAGGTTTAAGTTAGCTACAATTTTCCCACAGAATTAAAGTGAGCTGCACCCTAAATGGGATTTTTATTTTCTATGCAAATTTTTAACATGGTTAAACTGCTACCAAGAGGTTACTTTCAGACCATAGAATTTTGATAAATGTCATGAACTTTTAAAACATTTATCTTCTGAGTATTATCACTTATCAATAAAATTCGTACCAACACAATGTTGAGATTTATGAGAGTCACTCAAAAGGATCAAACTTAATATACACTTTAACTGTGTATTATAACATTTTTGCTATTACTTGCTTTCAATTGGACAAATACTTAATTTTTAAAACGATTCATAATACACATCTTTTTCACCTAACAAAATGATTAAGAGTCTTATTTTGAATACTATACAACTTACTTACTCAGCTTTGATACTAAATGTGAGATAATCAATCTATATTAAAAAGTCACTGCCAAATCTAAAGAAACAATTTAGATAATTTTATATAAACAGTATAACAATAACCCATTGCTTTACATTTTATAGAATCCTACGGTTTCCAAATTGCTTTCATATGTCTTTATTTAATATAAGAAATAACCCTGTCAAGGTAGCAGTTCCCATTTTACAGGTGAGGACACAAGAATCAGACAGATGAAAAGATCTTTCAAAGGTCAAGTGACTATTAAACAGTAAAGATAGAACTAGAATCAAGCTATCCTGACTGCTAGATGAGCAATATTTCAAATACACCACACAGCCTCCAAAAAAAATCACACACACACACACACACACACACACACAGAGCTTTAAAGTAATATTTGAAACAAAATTATTATATGAAAATTATCTTATTTGATATTTCCTGATCTTATTGAAAGTATAGTTATAAAATAAAATAAAAAATCTACTACCTGAGTATAAAGGTATCAAATACTGGTATAAAGGTACCTTGGTAGTTGGGTTAATGCTTCTAAAAATGTTACCAGTTTCCAAAATACCAAAGGAAAATCAATTTTCCCAAAATGTTTTTATTAAAATGGGCACATCAACTTCTAACAAAACACATGAAGCCTGATTAAACCAAGATTCTTTTCTTCATAAAATAGAGTATCATAAAACATACATATTTATATGTTTTGGCTTAAGCACACCAGTAAAATATGAGAAAGAATTCAGAGATATTCTGTCATTATTTTTTTTAATCCTTTTAAATTCCCACCAGCAACTTGTAAATTCCACCTCCTACTGCCACCCAGATTCTACTTCACCTGTATCTATAGGAGCTGTTATTAATGAAAACAACCAACATAGGCATACATACATCAAAAAATGGGGGGAAAGTATATGACATTTAGTATAGTCAACATTTAGTGGAATTCAATCTCTGAAACAACTAAAATATGCAGGCCTTGACAAAATCTTAGTTTGACAACATTATCCATAAACTACATCTTGGGGACAACTGGAATAAACTGATTATAAAATGAATATTAGATGGCATTAAGAAATTACTGATGATTTTCTTAGGCATGACAGCATTGTGGTTATAAAGAAGAACACTTTGTTTTTTAGAAGTATTTAGAGGTCAAGTGTCATATAAAGTCTCTAACTTAATTTCGAATGGTCCAGAAAACATACACAAACATATAAAACAGAGCAAAAAGTTAACAATTGTTGAATATACAAGACAGGTATACAGGTAATCACAGCACTACTCTTTCAAAGTTTCTGTATGCTTAAATTTTATAAATTAAAAAGTTGGAAAAATAAGAAAGCTTTGTTACTTGCTATGTGTAGCAACCGATATTCAATTATATAGAACATGATTTTAAGTTGACAGCTGAGTAACATAGTCATTGTTTCTATCTACACTAAGGTAGAATAGATAGTTGCAGACTTATATTATCAAAAAAGATTAAGAAGCTAAAGAAATACTTTTGTATCTAGATAATGAATATTAGTTTTCAACACTGACTTTTAAAAATTATCAAAATCAAACCAACAATGTTATTAAGTATCATGTTTTAATAGTGCTGCATTTTTTAAAAAGTCAGTAAATGGAGCTTTTCAGTTATTGTCACAAGTGAATTCTCAAGTAAAGCACTTAAAACAGCATCTAGATTGCTTTATGATCCTCTGGAAATTGATAAATCATCATATATCATTCTAAAAATACAAAGCAGAAAAAGTTTCTTAGAATTTTAAATTAAAATTGTCACTACAGAGCTAATGAAATAGAAGTTCCTATCAAAAGACCAAAATAATGTTACTACAAATTTAAAAGAACAACATTCTGGGTTATGATATGCGTAGTTAAGATTAGGTTATGTTTCAATTGCTACAAAAACTAATTTGGTAGGTTAAAAAAAAAAATCTCAAAATACTTCCTTTAAAAGTTAAGAGACATCACAAATTCTGAGAATCTGAGCTCTAAATTCACTCCCATGCTGTAAGAATATTCCATAGATTAGGAAAGGGGGAAAGGGTCCTTGAGTTAAAGTGACCCCTGGTGGTAGGTGGTAAGAACTAACCTGAGAGGGAATATTTTTATTAAGTTCAATGGTGAGTTAACAATATATTCAGGGAATTTAAGGAACATTCAAGCAAAAATTGCTTATTCAAACTAAAGTTAATGAAATAATTGACTTATTTCCTACTATGATAAATGTGTCCTTACTAGAATCTCTAGTATCACCAGACTTAGACGTAACATGTATTTATACTTAGTATATACTCTGAAAAGATATGAGAAACTGATCATTATGGACTAATAAAGAAATATCAGTATCTTTGTTTGATCTGAGCAAAGAAGAAATAAATAACCACACTGGCCTCAAAGCATGCGTATAAAACTGCCTAAGTCAAATTGTTGGCAATTTCTTCCCTTAAATGATGCTACAAACAGGCATTCACTTAAATATGTAACCTGAAGGGGGAAAAAAGCCACTCTGATTAGTCCTATTTATTTAGAACTCGCAGAACTAACTTAAAAAGCAACATATTTCTCAATTTAATCATTTTATCCAAATAGTTCCTGTGAGAAACACATCAAAAATTTTCTGCAAAATTTGTTTTTATTGAGCCAAGTCATATCTTTCTTGCCACAGAGAAAAGCAGAACTTGCACTTGAGATGAGACACACTATTCAATATTCAAGGTGTCTTCTTGAGATGAGACACACTATTCAAGGTGTCTTTTAACACATTTTAAATGTCTGCAGGATTTCTACTGTTCTGATTTCATAAGGATAAACCATAAAAGATAAGCACTAGATGACAGTCCTGTATCTCTGGTATCATGGTTAAGGAATGAATCATCTTTGAATTGAAAAGATTTATTTCTTCAAGGAGTAAAACTTTCTGTGCAGATTCTAGAGCAGCCCAAACTTCTGAGTCATAAGACTATTCTGGAGATAGTATACTAATCTCATACTATATCAGAAGCCAATGCTTCAAAACCACACCCCTTGTACATAGCTATACACAAATTTAAACACTAAAAAGTTTATTGTTCTAGGCAACATCCTTAGTGATTATTGGATGCCAGGAACCATGTCTATTTAACTTACATAATATCCACTGTACTGTGTTGTATATAAAGTTAAGACCATACTATCCCACATAAAAGAAACAATAAAAGTTAAAAAAGGATATGTGAAAAAGAATTTTATTAAATGCAAATTTCTAGATATAAAAGCCTAAAGTGTAGGCAGAATTAGTTCTTCCTCTCACTAATAAATCAGAACTGGTAACAGAGATGAAACCATACAATATTTAAGGCTATTGGTATAACTGGTCCTACTTGAAATGACATACTGGCTTACTACTAGGAGTCTACACTGTAAACAACAGAAACTTTTTAAATGAGAATTATCTCTTGATTTAAAGAATAAAATAATACATATTATAGAGTAGACACTTCCCTCCTCTTATATTGAGGGACGGGCCAAAAGTTAATGCCAAACAGCCTCCTGGTCATAATTTTATATTTTCAGTCTAGTAAAGGTATAATGACTTGTTCTGAGTAGCTTCTGGTCAAGAGCATGTCTTATAACTATCCTCAAGTTTAGCATATTTTGCTGGATCACACGGTAAATCCAATGAACGAAACATATGGCTATGTTGTTCTCTCTGCTTTAGAGGGAGAAAAATACAATTTTTTCCAAAATATGATTTAAAATAACAATTTCATTTTCTACGTGTAACAAATTATTTCTAAGAATTATCACTGAATATAACAAACTTTTAACTGTTTTATAAATGCTGAACTTAACTCCTTTTCATTTATTTGAATCGCTCCAGGATATAGCAAGTTGAAAACAGAACAATTCAGAATTGAGGTAGGTATACAACATTCTAAGGTGTGAGATATAAACTATGTGTTTGTTTTTTTTTACAAATTATGGTCTACACTCACTAGAAAAAAAACACCCTATTAGCTTAAAATTGTTTAAAACAAAAGTGATGGTAGGTAGAAAGGGCCATCCCTTGTCAAAAGGTAGTAATAGAAAAAGCTGCCTTTTAAATCTATAATTCTAAAAACCTAGTTCTCACACTGAGAAAGACAGTTTTTGGAGTAATGCATACTAATCAGTGCCACACATAGTCAGTGTTTCCTTCTTAGTGGAACAAATGTTCATCTCTCAATACCATAGGGCATAGCTCCTAAGTTTTTATTGGGGGGGGGGGGAAATCCCAAACTTCAAAAATTGCTTTTCACCTTGTTTCAAAAGTTTTTCCTTCAAGTCATTTTTAAACAAACAATAAAAGAGAATAATATTATATCTGACATTGATCTTGTAATCAAAACACACAATTTTCTCCCTTTTGAGATGCTTTAGAAGGAAATCTACTTTCTGAGAAAGTCTTAAAAGTCACTTACCCATCTACTGAGTAAAGATGAAGATTATACTGGATTGCCATTTATGAGATAAAATCACATTAATCTTCTGCTAAATCTTCCTTTCTAGCTCTTCACAAGGTAATGAAGTACTGAAAGAGGACAATTCCTCACATGGACAGAGATCAAATGAGAGAGAACTTAGCAGGATCCTTCCGCTGCCAGTATAAGGTTGCTCAATTTATTTCCTTCAGCAAGAACAGTGATGAAAATATACCCACCTTGCTATTTGTGAACAATCATATATGCTCCTTTCTAAAAGATACTCATCCAAAATAGTTTCCCATTTCAAAAGCAACTTCAGTCTGAGAATACTGCAAAAATGGAAGTGCTATGAAATGACAGTGAGGAATTACAAGCAGCCAACTCATTATTCAATCAGGAATCTGGCAGAATCATAAAACATGTACCGTCTATTTTAATGGATCTTAATTCCTCTGGTATCGGCTGAAAATCCAACTTGCAAATTGAACAATGACTAGTGCCAAAACCTGGTAATTTTCTCAATTTTCCCTGCCTGAGAATACTGTTACAAAGCAGGGAAGCACATACAGTAACATTCTTGACATTTGTATATTCTATAAACTAACATGTAAATGTCCATACACCATAATGCTAGCATTTGCCCATTTCTAGGGAAGGTAAACAATAATGCCTCTCTACATGTGTACTATAATAGGAGTAAAATATGTAGGTTCCCCAAACAGTGAGGTAACTCAATTGTTTCATTCATAAGAGCAATATTTGAGAATAAAATATCATCTATGTAGGCTTTTTAATTAGCTTCATGTAGGGCAAGCTTTCTAGTCACACGGTACTTATCTCTAAAAACTGTCTATTATTAAATACAAAAAAAAAGTATTGAAAACTATAGATCAGAAAGGAGCTTTCTTTTTTATCTGCTTTTTAACCTCAGGGTGGCACTTTCTATCAACCATCACCTTTATTTATACCAAGATAATTCAATATAGTTTTCTGTGTAGTGACTTTAGATTACAGTTATTGTGTGAACATCCAAGTAATTTCTAAACAAATTAAAGAACAATTAGTACTGACTTTTGCAAAGATGAAGGAAAATTTCATTCTCTGCTTTTTATTAACACAAGTAGTTCTTCTCTGCTACTTTCTATCAGGGCATATTAAATTGTAACAAAAACTACATCAGATTGTACCAATTATTTATGTTTAAATCCAACATTTCCACTGTAATGAAATTATAAACTTTTGATACATTTATACATTATTTCTCATTAATGAAAACTAGATATATTTACATGGGAGCATTTGAAATGTGGAAAAGCAGATAGAGCACTCAGGAACATATAAAATATGTCTACCTCTGCTCCAAAGATCATATAACAACACTAAATCTGGGTTCCACACAGTGGAGATACTGTGCAGGGGCAGAGTTGGCCAACACAGACCGAATGTGACCTCACTGAGATCTTTTGTTAAAAATACATACAAATCAGACTAGTCTTACAAACTGTATAATTATTTTTAAAATCTATTTTGGTATTTATGTTTATTGTGCTATGCAATATGAAGGCAATAATGGTCAATTAAAAAGATGTCATTCGAAACTTGAACAAGAGAGAGAATCTGAACTATATCTTTAATAATAAAGCTTTTGGGGGAAAATAGTCAAGCTGGATAAAGATAAAAAGTAAATAAAAATAAGAGTATTTAACACAAAGAATAAATTACAATACAAAGTAAAAATACTGGAATAAAAAAATGATTCCTTAAGAAAGATTTGAAATTAACAAGAAAATATAATCTATGTATGGAAAATGTTCAGTTTTGTTTAGCTTCCCATTTTTCTAGGTATTAACTCATAGGGAAAACCATAATGCTTTGCAAGTTATTTATTTCTCAATACCTGGGGTATCTTAAGTTTTTTTTTCTTGGTAATCCATCTTAGTTTTATTTTTTTAATTGAATTTATTGGGGTGACTTTGGTTAATAAAATTATATCAGTTTATCCTTGGCCATTAAGTAATGGCAGGTTTTAGCAGTAAATATCAGAACACATTTGAACTTTACTACTCAATACTCAAATATTTACTCCTAAAGCTTACCTCCACTCTTCCTGTATTAAATCATCCTACTTTTCAATACTGTTACCTTCTCACTATTTTAGCAAACATAGCATAATACTTACTATATATCCCCAAAGTTCTAGTGAGTTAGAAGTACTTATGTAAGGATTTCAGCTCTTAACATTCACTTACACTTTAACCCCACCAACACAACCTGGCACAAATTCAAGAATGTTCATTCTAGGACTACACTTCTTTTTAAACTCTCCCCTGCACCCAGGACTAAGACCATCAAAATTCAGGAGTCTATGGCTAATTCTTGGTGGGAGAAGCAATCTAACCGAAAAGTAAGTGAAGCTACTTGAAAATTATAAAAATTATCCTTGTCAACTGTTACATGAGGTGGTAAGTCCAAATAGCTGGACTTCCTAAAAGTGGTAAACTACCAGAAAGAATGAGTGTCTCAGAAAGCGAAATTGAGTGTATGGAATAAGAAGCACTGAAAACGGTAAATATAACATATAACATTTTATTTTTTGCTTGTTTTAAGTTTCTTTTAAACATTAATAGTGGTTCTCTTGGGATAGCTGGAAGATAGGACTCCTCACTACTTTCCATTTTAGTACCTTACAGAGTCTATAATAAATATAGAGTACTTGCTAGATAAAATTCCTTTCCCTCATCAGATCCTCCCTCCATTCTGCTCTGGAAAAGTGGATGATAACCTATAATAGTTCACATTAGAAAGCTCCCTTGCCCTCAAGATTCTAGTCCAGTATAGCTGAAGTATTAAAGAACTCCAGGAGTTTGGAGAAAGTAAGAAGAAGCTGAAGTATATTGCTTTAACTTACCCCTGTTAGGAAATGTTGAAAAAGAATTTTTCACAAACCATTGTAGTTTAAACAATGAGTCAAACGCCTAAAGAAATGCAAGAATTTTCACACTGATACACTAAACTAAATACAGAAATAAAATTACTTCGCATTAGCTAGTCTTTCAAAAACCCTTGAAAATACATCCTTTTTTCAAGAAGGGAGGAAAATCTGGCCAGAGTGGCTCAGTGTGTTAGTGCAGGTTGTCCGTGCACCGGAAGGCCATGGATTCAGTTCCGGCCAGGGCACATACCTGGGTTGCAGGTTCAATCCCTGGCCCCGGGTGGGGAGCGTGTGGGAGGCAACCAACTGACGTCTCCCTCCTTCTCTCCCTCCCTTCCACTCCTTCTCTGAAATCAATGGAAAAAAATACCCTTGAGTGAGCATTAAAAAAAAAAAAAAAAAAAAAAGGGAAAAAATTGGAATTCTTTTACTTATAGTCAAATATACTATAGCATGCTATACTATATTATAATACTTAATTTAAGCTATAGATTAAGTACTATTATAAAACAAAGTAGGAGCACATTCTAAGAACTGATAAAGTTTGACAACCTATATATAATTTCTAATTTCTGGGCCATTAATATTCAGCCATTTATTTTAATTTCAACAAATGTATTAAGAAAAATTAAATATTGCTTCAATTCATCACAAAACATCTTACCCAAAAATAACTTAAGAAAACATAACATTAAATAAAAGGCAAAGTCATTAGAAGCCATCAACCCGAGTATATATCTTACCTTGGCTTAAAACTGTACAGCACTCTTTAAACCAAGAAATAGGTATATAATTATTTTTTTTAAATAGCAACTGCACTTAAAGGGATGAGTTTACAACATTACCTTTTCATATAGGACTGGGTAAAAACCACAAATATAACACAATAAAATATGAAGATTGTATGTGACATATCAAAATCAATTATGCAGTAGAATTTTAAGAATATAAGTATATATGTGTGGGTTTGGTTTGTTTTTTTTTGTTTTTTGTTTTTGTTTTTTTACCTGTTTTGCAATTTCTCTTAAACAGGCTACTCCTTGTTCAAAATTAGGGAAAGCTACTGAGCCATACTTTTGATATTCAGGGACTGGTCTGATTTTTATTGTAGCTTCTGTTATCACACCAAGAGTTCCTGAAAAAGAAGGGGGAATAATCCAATATATCACATGCCAATTTTCTCGACCATATTTAAATCTATTTATCTATTTATTCAGTTAATTTATTCTATCATTCATATTTAAATCTATTTAATCTACTCAGTGGGAATAATGGCTACTCGAGTTTTTCTAGAAAAACTAAACAGGTTTTCTAATTTCTAAAAAAGTTTTTAGAATACATTTTTCTTGGTTATATGTAAGTATTTTAAAACATTTTTAAGGTAACCTTTCTCCAAGAAGGTTACTTTTAAGTAGTTTTAAAAGTATTACAACTTACGAAAAGAAAAACATATTGAAAAGCAACAGATTTTATATTTCATATGCATTCATACAAAAGTAAATTTTGATATTTGTGCCTATTCTTACTGTGAGAACAATTTATTGGGACAAAAAAAAAACCTTAACTTTCCATGAGAACTTAAGACAATGGAAGAAATCAGAGGAACTATTACACCTTGCCTTTTTTCCTAAGAATTCATACAAAGAAAAGACGAAGGTAAGGGAGATGCCCGCCCTTGTATGAAACCAAAAAAACCACAACAGATATTTCAGAGACAAAACTTATCATAAATATATAGCACAAGAGGACCACCAATGAAACAAATGTTCTTTTCTTTATTACATGGAGGAGTGGAGAACAAATCAGAGGAAATAAATAAGTTAAATACAACTACATGACCTAAATATCTATGCTAAAATATTTAAAGAGATATGGTTAAAAACAATTGTATTCACAAGCCAAGCTTTTCAAATCAGTGGTTTCTGAAGTACAAATGGTAGAAATTATTATTAATACTACCAATAAACCACTGGCGAATCATAAAAAAAGAACAAAAAGGGAACTCATTGAAACTGTAGAACTTAATTACAACACTAGAAATAAATAAAAAGTATCACAAAGATCAAAGTTTCCAATAAATTTATAATATACCTAAAATAAAAATGTCAATGTACAATACAAGATTAAAAACTAAAAGTCCATAAAAAGAAAATTACATTACATTAGATCACAATATATTCATCAATATAGGAGATTTCCTACCAAGATAGCAAATATGGCCCTTATTATGACTTGTAAAATCACAAAGCTCTACAAGTTTGGTTCAATTAATATCTGATTTTAAAAGAAGTGTCTTGTACATTTTAAGAGACAACAAAAGTGACTAGACTTTCTTTTATTTTAGCATTTCTATTGAGATATAATTCATAGACCATAAAATTCACCCATTTAAAGTATAAAATTCAATGGTTTTTAGTATATTCACAGATACATACAACTATCACCATAATCTAAGTTTAGAATACTTTCATCACTCCAAAAAAGAAACCTATGAAACAATCATTCTCCATGCTCCCCTCCCCACCCTCTACCTCAGCCCTAGACAACCACCAATCTATTTTCTGTCTCTATAAATTCTCCTATTCTGGACATTGTATATAGATAGAATCTTAAAACATGTGGTCTTTTTAACTGGTTTCTTTCACTTAGATAATGTTTTCAAGGTTCAACCATGTTATAGCATGTATTAGGTACTTCATTCCTTTTCAGCTGAATATTATTCTATTGTATGGAATAACTCAATTTGTTTATCCATTAATCAGTTGATAGACATTTGGGCTTCCACTTTTTGTCCCACTAGTTTACCAGTTTCTTATAAAAGGACACAACTCAGGAACAGCCAGATGGGAGAGATGCATAGGGCAAAATATGGGGAGAGGGGTACAGTTTCCATGCCCTCTCCAGATAAACACCTTCCCAGCACCTCCATGTGTTTACCAACATGGAAACTCTCTGAAACCCATTATTTTAGGAATTTTTATGGAGTTTTCATAGGCATGATTGCGTAAGCCACTGGCCACTGGTGATTAATTCAATGTCCAGCCTCTCTTTCCTCTCCAGAGGTCAGAGGGTGTGGCTGAAAGTTCCATAGGTTTCTACTTTTTGGCTGCTTTGAATAATGCTACCAGAATACATGTGTACCAGTTACTGTGTAGACATTGTTTTCCTTTATTTTGGATATGTACATGGAGACTTTCTTAATTTCAGGATAATATTTTATCCTATTCCAAGTAACATCTGGCCCTCAGCTACCTTTGACTGAGGCTAAGCTTCAGGTAACTGCAGCCAAAAGGTCGGGGGGCAGGGGAGAAGCTCGCTTTTTGGACCCAGCTTTAACTGGTGGGGCAGAGACTCTACTTTGAGTAGTGCGCTAATACTGGGGCCCCAATCACCCTTATCCTGGCTTGTAAAGGGCTGCTATCTTACCAGGAGAAGCAAACCTAGATGACCTATTTTCCTTCCTCCTTCCCCCAGCACTAAGCTCCTAAAGCTGGAGTGTTCTCAAAGAAAAGCATGCCATTGTTTCCCCCTCTTCCCACACTTCCAGAGCCATGGCTCAGAGATTTTGCCTGAGGGGAGAAACAAGCCATAAAACAGTTCCTAATCTCTTTCCAAAGGAAATTCTTTTATTTACAACAGAGTATGGAGAAGTTCAGTGGTCAATGGTTTAATCGATCATACCTATGTAATGAAACTCTGTAAAATAGCAGAGAATGCGGTAAATGGTAATTGAAAGGACAAAGGTAAACTTATTAGAGATGCAAGCAAAACTGCAGGTCAGCTAGCTTCCCTGGGTAGGAACAGTGTGTGATACTGGAAGTCCTAGCCAGAGCAATCAGGCAAGAATGAAAAGGACATCAGAATTAGAAAGGAAGAAATAATACTGTTTCTATTTGTGGGTGACATGATTTTATATAGAGAAAATCCTAAAGATTCAACAAAAAAGTTCTTAGAACTAATCAATAAATTCAGTATAGTTTTACAAGATACAAAATTAATATCCAAAAATTAATAGCATTTATACACACTAACAATGAATTTTATGAAAAAGAAATACATCGATCCCATTTACAACAGCACTGAAAACAATAATATACTTAAAAATCAATTTAACAGGGGAGATGAAAGATCCCTACTCTGAAAACTACGAAGTATTGATGAAAGAAATCAAAAACACAAATACAGTAAACAGAAAGTTATCCCATGTTCATTTATTGGAAGAATTAATATTGTTAACATGCCAATACTAGCAAAAGCCGTCTATAGATTCAATGCAATCCCTATCAAAATTCCAATGCATTTTTTACAGAAAAATAAAACCTCCTAAAATTCATGGTGGTGGAACCACAAAAAGACTCTGAATAGACAAAGAAACCCTAAGCCAGAGCTGTCACACTTCCTGATTGCAAGCTATACTATAAAGTTACAGTAATCAAAACAGTATGGCACTAGCATAAAAACAGAAAAATAGACCAGTAGAACAGAATACAGAGCCCAGAAATAAATCCAAGTATATACAATCAATTAATATTTGACAAGGGAGGTAAGAACACACAATGAAGAACAGACAGTCTTTAATTAGTGGTGCTGGGAAAACTGGATGTTCACATGTTAAAGAAATGAAACTTGACCCCTATCTTATATTACTCAGAAAAATTAACTCAAAATGAATGAAAGACTTAAATGTAAGACCTAAAACCATGAAACTCCTGGAAGAAAATATAGGAAGAAAGCTACTTGGCAACAATCTTGGTAATGATTTTTTAGAAATCACCTAAAGCACAAGCAACAAAATCAAAACAAACAAGTGAGACTACATCAAACTAAAAAGCTTCTGCACAGCAAAAGAAACCATCAACAAAGTGAGAAGACAACATACAGTATATGCTTATATATAGCAATTGTGTTTGCTATGGGGAAGGGAGATGTCTGAAAGACAGGGAGAGGAGGCAGATTTTCCCCTAAAAATTCTTCAGTACCTCCTGAATTTTGTACATGTATGTACATATACCCAAATTGCCTTATATGTATAGTAGGCACTTTAAAGTAGTAAAACCCAGCATAAAACTACAAGTGAGATTTTTTTTTAAAATTAGTAAAATGACACTTTGCATTATTGCAAGGTTAATGAAATGACCACAGCAAGTCTGCCTAACTATCCAGCTATGAGTTATGCAGGGAGGTCCCACTGTGACACCAAAATACATCCAGGTCCAAAATGCAGACTGATAGAGGGCATATTCCATTAAGACTTATATTCAAATTAAACCAATCACAAATGGATACATCTAAAGTCACTTCATAAAAAGGCTCACTTGGGTTGGGTTTTATCATATTTATTGATTCTTTTGCTCTGAGAATATTATGTCAGTGACATGATATAAAACACTTGATTACCTATCACTTGATACAAGATTATATATCACTTGATTATATATGCACATTATACCAATATTTTATATCCACTTAATGTAATTTTTTACAAATAACTCCACAGCAATATGACAAAATAGAGGCTAATATGCCATTCACTTTTCTGTTTTAATAAAAAATGTTACAAATAAATTTTATAATTTTCAAATATGTTCTTAAAAAAATTAAATGCATCAATTGTTATTTAATATAAAATGCAAGTATTTGCTTGAAGTAAATAAAATATTCCATAATTTGAAAATACACTTTCAGGTGACTTCAGGATTGAGAGATTGGCAGTCATTTGATTCTGAATCCTCTCCCTCTACTTTCCCCCCCAAAACATAAAAATCAACAAGGAAAACAAAATCACACAGGAATTACTAAGAGACCAAAAAAAGAAAAACCCAACAAAATGCTATGACCTTTAAACTACTTGTAAGTAGAGATAAAAAATAATTCCAACAAACCTTCTACAGCCTTCCAGGTACTACAAGCTTATAAGAGCAGAAAGTAAGAGGAGGTTTAAAAGACTGCATAAGAAAGATCAGAGAGTAGCACAAGACTTAGAGGAAGCAGACAAAATCAACCCCAGAATGTAAAAGTGCAACAGAAATGCCAAAATATTATACAAGGCTGGGTAATCCATAGCCCTGGCTATATGGAGGGGTTTGAAAATGGGAGGAACCAGAAATGGCAGCCTTGGAGAAGCAAGCAGAATATCTTCAGGGGAGCATTATATTTAGAAGAATGTGGTAGTCCTTGGAGACAAAGCTGTGAAGGGAAAGAATAAAATAAAAAATAAAAATTACAGATCTCACAGAAATGAAAGAGAGACAAGACATGCCCTGCCTTCTACCAACAAAACCACCACCATCCATAAAACAAGGAGCACAAAAGAGGGTAGAAAGAGCAGAAAAAACTCTCATAGTAGGAATCCTTTCCAAGTAATAAACAGGAACAGAGAAAAGCAGACCAAATCCATAAAAACCTTGCAAAAAGGTCAGAAAATATAAACAAAAGCTTTTCTGCAGGTGAAAAGCTCCTCCAAACCAATCATGATCCTAAAGAAAACTGTAACACATTTCAAACTAAATTAAATATTGTCAAACAAGTACCTGGGGATATAAAAAAATACCTCAATCAGAAATATAAACACTAAAAATACCTCAATCAGAAGAGCAAATCATAAGTGGACAAAAAACAAGAAATAAAATAAGAGATGACCAAACTCAGGAAAGTAATAGAACAGCAACAACAACAGAAAACATAAAAAATGAAGGCTAAGTTATAAGGTATCCAAAAGAGAACAGAGAATAGATTCAAATGAAATCTTTAAAAAGGGTATTGAAGAAAGGCAGGAAAATAACCAAAAGAATGGAAATGAAATAAAACAAGTCAAGAAAAAAGATCAGAGAAACAGTAGTTGAAATGGAAAACAAGCGAAGGAAGTAAAATATATGTATAATTGGTGTTCCAGAAGAAGAAAAATCAAAACAAGGAAAAAAACCCTAATATTTAACACTACAACCCAAAAAAATTCCCACAAATAAAATAAGATCTGAATATACACATTGAAAGGGTCCACTGGGTACCAGAGTAGAATGACACAGGATAATAAATTCTGAGTTGTAAAAGCAGTAAATTTTAACAATAATAAAACAAAAATACTCAGGGCCTCCAGGCAAAAAGAGGAAACAAGCTACAAAGCCAAGAAAGCTAGCATCATATTTCTTGAAAACGACATACAAAACCAAACCAACAGTAGAGCTGCATTTTCAAAAAACAAGGAAAGAAAGTGTGACCTAAGAATATCACATCCACTCAAGCTGCCCTGCCAAGTATCAAGGCTGCAGAAAAACAGTTTAAAACATTCTAGAATTCATGGGATATACAACTGTGCCTCTCCTGAGGAATCCAGTAAAGGATGAGCTTTATTTAACCAAAAGATGACTAGTAAAACTACAAAAAGAGAACCGATAATAAGCATTTCATCTTACAGAAAAGGCTAAAAGGGGGTCATGTCTGTTTTTAAAAGTACTTTTAACTATTTTTCAAATGGAAGAGCAAATCATTGTAAGTTACTAGTAAACGCCATACATAGGAAAAGAATGCAAAGCATTTCAAATGCTTTGACTGCTTCTTGTAATTTCCATTATATTGATCATGTTAGAGCATTTAAAATGAGAAGCTGCCTGTTAAAAAATTATGAGATTCTTAACACAAAACAAGACAAAAACATTAAACTTAAAGTGGTTAGTCACATGTGGAACTTAGTAGGATAGGACGAAATAGGCTTTTTAATGGTAATGCTTTCAAGACTGTCCTCAAATGATTTAACTGCAATACAAGAAAAATATTTTAAAGCTCATGGAAAAGTTTATGATTCACATTTAAGGTGATTTAGTTCAAAATAGTAGATAAGTTACATTTTATAAAAGAATATGGTTTCACATAAAATTATTTCCTCAATCATGCTGTCTCTTGGCCTATACTATGATGACTCTACATCCACATACATACAGAAATGGAGATTAGGGACCATAAGTATACTTGTAAAGATCATTAATGCCAAAATAATAAAGTCAGAATAGTGATAAATTTAACATTTACTGAGTACTTAGTACAAGTTTATAAACTGCTTAGCATAATCTCATTTAAATCTCACAAAAAGTTTATGAAGATTATCACTTTATTATCCTCATATTACAGCTGAGGACACTGGGCATAGAAAATCACTTAATTTACACCAAGTCACAGAAACATAAGTAGTGAAACTAGAACTGAAATCCAGATCTGACAGATTTCACAGATCACGCCCTTAAATAATTATGGCATTCTGCATGTACGCTTATAATAAAATCTCATTTAAATACAGTGATTTACCCTAGAATATACGTTTTTATACTAATGAGTTTGTCTTCTTTAAATTTACTCAATAATTGACCAGAGGGAGGCAGTCCAGTCTTCTAGATGAAAACTATTTAAAAAGGCATAAAGACCACTTTATCTCTCTAACCATCCTATAACCTCTGCCCTTAGACCTGCTGCCCACTCCATCCTACAATTAAATCTTATATCCCCATTATACTGAAAAACTTAAAGCTTCATAAAGCAGACATGGTTCTTTCTCACTTCTAAGCCTGTCCACATGCAGTTTTCTCTTCAGGGTAATTCCCTCAACCCTGTCAGAAATTATTTTCTTCTTATCAACCCTCAAGGACCACTTTAGGCATAGCTTCTTTCAGTAAGTTCTCCTAATACCCATTAATGAGAACTTCTGTCTATATTTTCCAGTGTTTATGTCTATCATAGACTTTATTATACTGGTCTATTATTATCTGTGTCCTGAGTGTGCCAGCACAGTACCTAGCAACCAAAATTTTAAAAATGCTAATCAATGGGATTAAAAAAATGTCTGAAGTGGTCACTTGAAAAGGTAATTTATATTTATAAGTTTTAATACCTAATTGTTATTAAGTTAGACATCTGATAGCAAAAAGTTATATACTTTTAGTTAACTTTTAGCTGATGCAATAGTATAAAAAGTTCCAAAATAATAATAGAGAACCATATGATTTAAAGGAATTTAACATTTTATTTTTCTCATTAAAACTGTTCTTTTCTTCCTTAGAAGAGCATACCAATTAGAAATGGAGTAGGAACAAACAAGAAAAACAAACAAAGAAAACCTCAGACATAGGCAGCAACAGTATGGTGGTTACCAGAGGAAAGGGGGTGGGTTATAAAGGATAAAGGGGGTCACTATATGGTGACAGAAGGAGATCTGACTTTGGGTGGTGGGCACACAATGCAATATACAGATCATGTGTCATAGAATTGTACACTTGAAACCTATAAAATTTTATTAACCAAAGTCACCCTAATAAATTTAATTAAAAATATATATTAAAAAATAAAAAATAACAGAGTAAACTTGGTAGATATCTTGACAAAGGTTTGTCACTGGTTGTCATGAAAAAGATCTAAATTATTCCCCTGATCATAACTCAGTAGCTGACCGCTAGCATGTCCCAAGAGACATAATAGTTTGTTTTTCCCCTCCTTGACGTTAGTGTCAAAGGTTAGAATTTACCCTAGTTTATTATAATTTGCTTTTATCCATATAAAATACATTTATGCATCTAGTTAAATATTTCCAGGATGTATCTTTTTTTTCAGCTTGTATCACCTTCTTAAGTTAGTAATGAGTTCCTCTGCTAATTTAGAAACCCTGTTTTATCTGATTTCTCTGAAATGGAGTATCCCTCGCTACAATTCTAAGAATTAAAAAATAAGCCCATGTTCACCTTCAATTCACAGTGCCTACATAACAGTTAGCTTGCACAAGAGAAGGGAGATTAGTGTTTTTTTTTTCTGATTGGTACAGTAATTAAATATTTGGAATAAAATAACTACATTCTAATCTACACAGAATCAAGTAGCCTAGCAAAGGCTACTACTTAAGTAGTGAAAAAAATATAAATAAACAGAATTTTAAATTCCGCTTCTTAAACAAAGCAAATAGCAATAACAAAAGATATAATTATAGAAAGACCAGACATTAAAACAACACTTTATCAGTCTTTTCTCCCTAATTATTCAGACATTAAAGCATATAATAATATAAAATGTTAAAGCAAACCATTTTAAGCCTAGCTACTATTTTTCTTATAATATTAAAAACTCTAAAAGAAAAATCAAATAAAACCAAAAAGACCAAGCTGTCTCTAAAACTATAAAAAAGTAAAATGTAAGAGAAAGTTTAATAAGATGTTCTCATAATAAAAATTTTATGAAGTACTAAAGTAATAAAACATTTTAAAAATCACCATCTTTAAATATATATTTCTTTCTTTCAAAGATCTGATATCACAATATCACAGATTTTCACAAAACTGAGCACTAACCTCTATTTTTTCATAATAAATTTGCAGTTATATTTACCTTCAGATCCCATGATGAAGTGATGGATATCAGGGCCTGTTGACATACGAGGTCCTTGACAGCTTTTTTCTATTATACCTCTAGGTGTTACCATTTTTATATGAACCACCTGTTTAATACAATGGAGGATGTAAATTCTAGACATTTGTCAATGAATGTTGTGTGTGTGTGTACACACATCCATATATTTATATAAAACACTACTTTTTAAATATTGGGTTAGGTGATAAATGTTGATGCCCTTCAGAATGCTAATATCTTTTAGTAATTCTTAGACTAAAAATAAACTTTATAAAATTTAAAAGAGGGACAAATCAATTTAAAATTCTTATTGGTTTAGGTATATTCATTACCTTAAGACCACCTTAAGCCTGGCTGGGCATGGCTTAAAGGTTGAGCATCAACCTAGGATCCAAGAGGTCCCCGTTCGATTCCCGGTTAGAGCACATGCCCGGGTTGCAAGCTAGATCCCCAGTCAGGGGTTTGCAGGAGGCAGCCGATCAATGACGACTCTCACATCATTGATGTTTCTATCTCTCTCCCTCTCCCTTCCTCTCTCTGAAATCAATAAAGATATATTTAAAAAAAAAAAAAAGACCACCTTAAGCACATTTCTTTAAACCAAATTTAGTCTCAGGTTATCTATGTAACAAAGAAATAAAGGACAGAAGAAATAAGCAATGATCATAATATAATAGGTTCATTATTTCACTTATTTAACAATATTTATGAAACTATTATTCATGTCAAACACTGCTTAGAATTCTAAAAAAAAAAACATTCTTCTTGCCTTTTTCCCTCCTTCACCTTACCTAACTTGCCTACTTAGTAGTAAAGAGTGAAAAGAATAAAGTATTAATTATGATCAGGTCAAAATTGGGATGAAGAGGAAGATCCAGTGACTGAGTTAAAGAGAGGGAGGGAGACATGTGTATGATAAATCAGTGACATATGTTTCACACAGATGAGAAAGTAAGTGTACAGTGTGTGTGTCAGGGGGAGAAGTGGCAGGGTGGGGGTCACTCAAAAATTGTTCCTGAGATCTGAATCAAAAATGGTTAGGTAAAAATCCAACACATTTTCAGAATGCTTTTCAGGCAAATAAATAAAAATAGTCTATGTATTGTTGAAGAAAATGAGCAGAGAACATCAATAAGCAACTTACAAAATAAGAAATAAAAATTGCCAAAGAGATCGTTTTAAAAGTTTACATTTATTAGCAATTAAAGAAATTAAAAATTAAGACAAAATATAAAGAGTCCAATAAAATAAAGATTCTCACGCTAGTGGGATGTCAATGACACAAAATTCCTATAGAGCAATTTGGCTGGAAGGATCCAAAGGCTTAAAAATATATAAGCACCTTGGCCAACAATTCAAGCTCTAGGAACTTATTAGCCCCCAAACAAACAATTAAAGATGTACGCTAAAAAAGATTACTTAAGTAGTTATTTTCCCCTTTGTTTTCTATAATTTTGAAGTCAAGAATAACTTAAATATTCACTAATAGGGAGTTACTTTAATAAACTAAGAATTATCAATAAGTGAATTATATGCACTCTATTTAAATGATGGTGCAAAACTACATTCATTTACGTATTAACATGTTGATAATTTAAAAAGCAGAATAAACAGAGTGTGATCTCTTTTTATATTAAAAACCAGATATACACATTTGTGAGCATGCCTAGAAAATGGTCTGGAAGGATAAAAACAAAAATGTTAAAAGTGTTAAAAATTATTTTATGTAGTTAATATCCATAGCATATCTGAATTTCCCTCTGTGTTTCATAACTGAAAAGTATACTAAGGACTCTTTCACAGAAGCAATGGATTATTGCTAATGGCTAAGAGCTTCAACTTTATAGCATACCATAAGAAATCATAATCATTTAATCAGAAATGCTCAGGAAATCATTTCACTAAATTAAAAATATTTGAGTTGGACTATAATTAGAACTCCTTAAAATGACCTTGAAAACAAGTAGCAACCAGAATTTAAGATGAAAAGTTTATCCCATCATACACAGAAAGCACTAAGAAATCTCAATTTTCAGATTATAATGTTAAAATTTTATACTATCCAACTATCTTCAGCTTTTTTCAAACAGTTAAATAGGTATTAGTATCATTACTTATTGTACTTCAAAGAAATATGCACCAATATTGATTAGAGAAATATATTAACACATTCAAAGAGTTTAATGTTTTTCATGAGTTCTACTCTAGCCACATAAAGGAATAATATATCAACTTCATTAGAGTTTTCATAAAAGCAACTAATGTAAATTAAGACAGTTTCAGTGGAAATTATATGCTGTAAAGACATTTATGTTAAAAATAAAATATGCTAAGTAATCACTAATGCAAATAAATACATTAGGATGTATGCTTTAAATATCTCTAAAAAGGATTAAAGTAAACTACATGCTTAGCAGTAGTAAATGGAGCAATCTGTCAAATATTTGTTTAATTCTGATAAAGCTCTCAATAATCCAATAGCAAAAGGATCAAATCCTCTCTCTGAAACTGAATTTATTTTAATTGCAAAACAAAAATTTGATTTCTAAAATATCCTCAGTAAAAATAAAATAAACAGGATAATGTAAGCATTTTAAAAGTATTCATAATATAGACACTTAAAGTCTTAAATTGCTTGGTGTTAACTATAAAGAATCACAATTCACTAAAATTTCAAGTAATGAAGATATTGATGAAAATGTTGAATCTTTAGATTTGAAAAGCAAAGATAAATAGCTCTAAGAATAACGTTAAGAATATCATTTTAATAGTCTTATAAAGTTATTTAAAATTGTTATCAAAATATTGGTGATAAGACAACTAATACTTTTGAAGCACCTACTACATACCAGAACTGCTAAGAGTTTTCATTTTATGTCCTTTACTTCTTGTAATTCTATACAGCAATTAACATTACTTGTTCTGTTTCACAGAGGAGAAAATTTCTCTAGAAAGGCGAACCATTTTGCACAAGGTGACATAACTATTAGGTCACACTACTAAAAGCTACAAATGGAACAAGTGATACTTAATTACTAACCAGGATGCGCATAGTTATTACACTATTATCAAAATAACTCTCAGAGCACTGGCACCAGGTCAGCTAAAACAAAATGGTGTGTGCATAAGACATTAGAGGTTATACTGCCACTTACTAGAACATTTTCATTCAGGCTCTTTATATAGAAATTTTTTTTCAGAAAAATAAATATAAAAATCTCCTAAAGCAAAAGAGTAGCAATGACGAGATCACCTAAATAAACTGACTAAAATTTTGGTAGAGATGAAGACTGAAGCTCCATGAGGATTATCAAATAATATTTCTATATTTTATAAGTCAGATACTATGAAACATTTATAAAGCTTAAATGTTAGTCACCTGAAAAAGAACAACCTTAAGTAATGACCACTGTGTCTTTTAACTGCTTCTGTCATATACAGTATTACCATAATCAAAAGAAGCATATTTCTGAGGAGACTCCACTATCCAAATCAATTTTTAAAGGCATTCATCACTTTATAATAATCTCTATATATTAATCAATTATTACATAATAGCTAGAAAAAATTTACCAAGTCTTCAATATTGCCATAGATATTCTTCTTCATGCCTGATGCCCGAGTAGATACCCATCCTCCCACAGTGCTGAATTCCAGGGAATCTGGTTCATGACCTGTACAATAACCACTTTCTTTAAGCTGAAAAACAAAAATGTAATGTTTTACTAGTGAAAATGGTCCCATTTCACACAGCACTCAACACATTAACTCTTTCCACCTTAAAATTCCCATATGTCACTGGAATTTGTACTCATTAAAACCTATGTTAAAAAAAAAGAAATATTTCTTTCATCATACTTGTCCCAAATTTTTTTTAAGCTTTTCTTTGAGTAAAACTTTATAAAACTAAAAAATGAGGTCCAAAAGATAGTTGCATTTTCCACAAGTTCACTAGCCAGTCTTACTCCTTATATCTTTTTATGTTAAAGTCAACTAACCTCCCTACTTTTTTTCCCCCCACAAAGAGACCATTTAAATACTTCTGGAGATCAGATTATGTTTAAATAACTGCCAACTTCACCTAAACACTTTCAATAAATAAAGCATTTAATCTCTTGTTCTCCCTACCCTAATATAATATGCAGCAGGCCTGCAGAAAATCCAAGCAAATTGCCTGTACTTAATTCTCTCTAGGAGTCATGTGTTTTAATGTACAGCCATCTGGCTAGGTTTCCTGCATGTAATACTGTCATTTATTTGTGATGCAGATCATGCATTCCTGTACATTAAATAGTCACTTGTTTCTCATTTTTCTATATTAGCTTGGCTTTGCCATCTGCACAGCACCTGAGGTTGAATGGATGCCCTTTACTGTAACAACACCAAAGCCATTCCACTGAAATCATTTTAAAGACTCAGCCATCTCATGTCAAACAGTACAGACACCACCATCTGCATACCCACTGTCTATTGCACTCAAGCCCATCAATCTGTGTTGACCATTTGATAGTCATCCAGTTAAGCAACTGCTTCTATTTTTCAAGTAAGCCATGCACAGATGTAGAATATGTCAGCTATGTTCATATCCGCATATTTAAGTATGGTATGAAAGTTGTAATTCAAAATTTGAGAGCCAATTAGGTTAAATATAATTTGTTAGCTTTCCCACACAAGCAATGCAAATTATTTATTTACCTTTTATAGTTTTGTTGCTAGGAAAACAAGGTTTAAAATATATCAATTGTTACATAATAGGATTTTTCACTAAATATTTAATACATTTATTTAATTTTAAGGTTAATAACCACCCACAAGTAGGTAGCTTAAATTCATGACTGAACAGATTAAAATAAAGATTATCAGACTGCTATATTTCTTCCCTCCCAAACAATTTATAATCATATTATTTACTCTCAAAAGACTACTGTTACTCAAGTTTTCTAAAATTAGGGAAGGAAAAGAAAAGATATTCATGGAGGGTTTAGATGTGCTAGGTACTGAAAAGATAGTTTTCATATATTCTCATGACAAAATCTCCACATTACCTATACAGAAGCAAGTCATTAAATACACATTTAAATTATTTCTATAGGTATATACAGAGTTTGGGACTCTATGTGCTTCCTGGACTTGTATGTCTATTTCCTTCACCAGGTTAGGTAAGTCTTCTGTCATTATTTTTTCGAATAGATTTTCAAGTTCTTGCTCTCTTTCTTCTCCTTCTGTTACCCCCATGATGCGAATGCTGGTACATTTGAAATTGTCCCAGGGGCTCATTACACTATCTTCATTTTTTTGGGTTCTCTCTTCTTTTTGCTGTTCTGGTTGTTTTTTGCTTCCTTCTACTCCAAATTGCTGATTTGATTCTTGGTTTCATCTACTCTACTGTTGCTTCCTGTAAATTATTCTTTATTTCAGTTAGTGTAATCTTCATCTCTGACTGGTTCTTTCCTTATGGTTGCTATGTCCTTTTTCATGCGTTAAAGTTCTAAACTTAAAGTTCCTTGAAGTTCTCAGTAAGTTCCTTGAGCATCTTATAACCACTGTTTTGAACTCTGTATCTGGTAAGTTTGTTTGCTTCCATTTCATTTAGTTCTTTTTCTGGACATTTCTCCTGTTCTTTCATTTGAGATCTGTTTCTTTGTCTCCACATTCTGGCTGCTTCACTATATTTCTCTCTATGTATTAGGTAGAGCTGCGATATCTCTTGAACTTGGTAGAGTGGCCTTGTGTAGTACGTGTCCTGTAGGGTCCAGTGGCACAGCCTCATCAGTCACCCAAGCTGGGTGCTCCAGGTGGGCCCTTGTGTGGGCTGTGTGCACTGTCCTGTTGTAGTTGAGCCTTGATTGCTGTTGGTGTCACTGGGAGAGACTGACCCCAGACTGATCAGCTGCAAGGACCGGCTATGACTATAGTGGAGGAACTGCTGTGCAGGAGCTGACCCTATGGAGCAGGACTTGCTTCAGTGGGGCTTTGGTGTTCACTGAGTCCACCTCTTGAGTGTGTCATTCGTCGAGGTAGTAGGGTTGTAATCTGAGGTGGTCTGAAGCTGTCTACCAGGTGCACTGACTCTGGGGCCTCCTGGGAAGTGCAAAGTCAGCCACAGCGTGTGCCCTGGGGCCACTGGCACAAGCTACAGCATGATTTGCAGATGGCTGCTATTTGTGCTGGGCTTGGAGGTGCCCGGGAGAGGTCAAGCTGTGAACCAAAGGCAGCTTCCACTACTGCCAAGCCTGGGGCCATTTATCAAGAGGTACAGGGTACACAGAGGCCAGATGCTGCTTGAGATTTTAGGAAAGTCTGAAGCATGAGCCAAGAAAAGCTATTATCACGGAAAAGTCACTGGAAACAGCTTGGGTTGGCCCGCAAGTTGGGTGAGGCAGGGTCTCGGGGAATCACCAGGGCAGAGTGAACAGTGTGAGCCAGGCTGATGGAGACTCAAATATGGTGCCCGCCTGCCGGCTCTGTAGGGGTGGTCTCAGAAAAGGAAAAATGGCTTCTGCCATCACTTTTGTCTGGCATAACACTGCGCGTCCCCAGCTCTTGCCCTGATGCAAGACAATTCAGTTCCTTCCCATATGTTCATGGTTCCATTCAAGCTGCTGCCCCAGTGCTGGAGCTGAGTGAGTAAGTATGAGTAAGTTTACACATGAGCCCTTTAAGAGGACCTGCCTGGGACACCAGGAGCCCTCTGTCTCACTCAGCCACAACCCTCACTTGTTTTTACAGTGAGAAATTATGGGAACTTCTGTTCCTGGCTCTGGAACCCTTGGCTGAGAGATCTGGTGTGGGGCTGGGACCCCTCAATCCTCAGCAGGGATCTCCACAGCCAAGATACCCTTTCCAATTTTAAGCCACCACATAAGGGTATGGGACCAGTGCTTCCATGTCTCCACCCCTCCTATCTGTCTTGATGTAGCTTTTTATTTAAATCCCTGGTTTTAGGGCTTCCATTCAGCTAGATTTCAGGTGGTTTTGCATGATGGTTGTTCTGTAGTTTGTCATTTTGATGTGGTTGTGGAAGAATTCTAGTACCACATTTATCTGTGCCGCCATCTTAACCATAAGTCTCTCACGTTGCACATTTTAAATGAGTGCAATTTATTGCATGACAATTATACCTCAATAAAACTTTTATGAAACAACAAAATAAAAATAAATGACTCCAAGGATTTTAGCCTGAGCAGCTGAAAGTACTACATTTTCATCAACTGAGAATGAGAAGGCTACAGAATAAGCTAACTATGGAAAAAAATAGAAATTCAATTTTTAAAATGTTTAGTTAGTTTAAGACATTTTGTCTAAAATGTGTATTAGATATGTAAGTCAAGACCTCAACTAGGAAACTGGATATATAAGTCTGGAATTCATGAAAGAAGTATGAGGTGATGATATAAATTTGGGAGTCTTTGGCATGTAGAAGGAATATTTAAAGTCAGCTGTGCTTGAGTGAAGCAGACAGTGCCCAATAAAAATTAGTGAAATGATAAAAATTCTAAGTACTTTACATTATTAACTTATTTCATTCTAACAAAAACCTTATGAAGTAGGAATTATTATCTTCATTTTATAGATGAAGAAAGACACTGAGGCACAGGGAAATGAGTCTGTAGGTGGGAAAAAACATAAGTCACACCTCCCCAGGATATTAACTAATAAAGTGAAGTAGCCAAAGATTTAATAAGCCTAAAAAACAAATTCCCAAAATTCATAATTGACATGTTAGTGACCTCCCTTAAATTTTATATATATTAACATCAATGTAACCTACAAATTAAGAAGATTAAAATTTGTGCTACCCAACTACTATATATGTGTCATTTTAAAACTTCTAGAAGGAAAAAGCAGGACATTTTAAGCTGGTTACCTCAGCTGAAGTAGAAATTGACAGACATAGAGTTTAATGAGAAAGAACTTGAACTGGGATCAAAACAGATGTAGTCTAGACCATATTATAGTCTAGTAGAGGCAAAAAGAAAGTTCTGTAAGTTCTATATCCATATTTAGAGAAATAAACTAGTAGGTAAAATACCGGAAGTTCCTAGTCTAAGAAAATGTCATTTAAATTTCAAGGAAATATATTCCTTGAATTTTAAATCTAACCTTTTAAAAAAAGAAAACTTGGAATGGTTAAAACACTACATCAAATACCATAATAAAAAATATACACCCAGCCGGGCGTGGATCAGCGGTTGAGCATCAACCTAGGATCCAGGAGATCGGGGTTCAATTCCCGGTCAGGGCACATGCCCGGGTTGCGGGCTGCAGCCGATCAATGACTCCGCCATCATTGATGTTTCTATTTCTCTCTCTCCCTCTCCCTTCCTGTTTGAAATCAATAAAGATATATTAAAAAAAAAAAAAAAAGATTAAAAATATAAAATTGGGAGACATGAAAGGCCATCCTCTGTTATAAAAAAAATTGCTGTGTTAATAATGCCTCAGTCAGGCATAATGGAAGACTAATACAGGACTTTTTACAGGTTGTTTTTTTTCATTAAATACTATTATTCTGCCCACTGACATTCACTGTAAACTATAATAAACAAATCTAATTACCTTGACTTATATAAAACCTTGACTTATTGAAGATCTTTAACACTGCCTCAATAAATATATTCAATTTTATTCCAGTTCTCTGATCTTACTGCATTAAATTAAAAATAAAGACAGTAAATAGTTTAATAATTTCATTCAACTCTTTATTAAGAAAGAAGGAAAAAGACAAGAAAAGTAAGATCAATAAGCATGTCAGATCTCCCTCCATGTCCTGTTAAAAAGAGGAAGGGGGCCTGGTTGGTGTGGATCAGGAGTTGAGCATTGACCTAAGATCCAGGAGATTGCGGTTCAATTCCTGATCAGGGCACATGCCCAGGTTGCAGGCTCAATCCCCAGTGGGGGGCATGCAGGAGGCAGCCGATCAATAACTCCCTCATCATTGATGTTTCTATCTCTCTCTCTCCTCTCCCTTCCTCTCTCGGAAATCAATAAAGATATATCTAGAAAAAAGAAAAAGAAAAAGGGGGTGTCTCTGTAACCCAAGTTGAACAAAGTGGTAAGAACATCACCAACAAATTAGACTTTTTAATTTTTGTTTATAAAAGCTGAATTATAACATCTTACCCATGTTTGAGGAGGTTGAGGGAACCAATATATTTTAATAATTACCTGCACTTAGAAACCATAAAGGGAACCTAAAGTTTTCAAAAAATTCATTAGGGTTCCCCAAAAAGTACATAAGGACTCCCAGAGTTTCACTAACTACATGAGATGACCAGTTTTCAATGAAATTATACATTGAGAAGTTCAATAAATAGCAAATATCAACATCTACCCAGTTAATACAAGTTATCATCAACTTCTAAAACTTCTATGTCCAATTTGTACCATTTTGCTCCATTCTTACTACTTTATTTCAGGTCACTATCAGCAATTGCTTGAATTATTGCAGCATCCTCTGAACCTACCCTTATGTGCCCCATCCAACCTCCAAACAGTAGCCAGAACTATCCAAGTACAAAAATAACATTCAAACTTCTAAAAGGGGCTTTATAAGGCTCTTTATGGTCTCAACTCTTTGCATTTCTCTGCCTTCATCCTTTAACACTACATGTTCAGGTACCCAATATACAAACACCAGAATGTGTATTCTCCCATATATACACACTAGAGCTCAGCCATAGTCAGCTATCTGCAGTCCCTCAAAAGCAACAGCTACCTGTAAAGCCTCTGTCCATGTTGCTTCCTAAATGGACTGTTCTCCCCAACTCCATCTCCTTTTTGCTAATTCTCACTCATCCTGAAGTCTCATTTTAAATGCTGCATTGTCTGTGATACATTCTTTGCCCAACTCACTTCCTCCTAACCCCATCTGATGAATCACAATATCCCAAATTTAACCTTCACCCAGAAATTCTCACTCTGAATAATAGTCTATTGACCTTTCTGTTGTAATATAACATAAGCTATCCAAGGGTAAGGGATGGTGTCTTATTCATTACTGTGTCCTCAGCATCCAGCTCAATGCCTGACCCACAACAGAAACTGAACAAACTCATTCAGTGTAATGTATTGTGAAAGGTACTTCATTCAAGGAAGGGATACATACCAGTTTTGAAAATCTTAAAGAAATAACATACCTGTCTTTCCAACTCTTGTCCTGTTATGCCAGCCTCTACGTGAGCTGTCAGATTGTTCTCATCAACCCAGAGGATTCGATTCTGTTGCAAAGGAATAAAAAAGTTTCATCTCTGTGACCTATTGACATTTCCTCAGGAAATATAACTTCCTAACTGGAAGCAGTAAGTGACAAGAGAGTAATTAGGCAAATAGGGTTACCCACACCAGAAAGCTCCACTTATCCCTGAATACACAAGACAGACATATTAACATAGGCTGTATAGTACATAGGAGCAGGTTTAAACACAGACTCTGTCTTTAATTTGAATTAAACTATACCTCTTGTCTTAGGCAAATTAGGTAACTGTCTAAGCTTAGTGTTTCCTTATTTGCAAAGTGTGGATAACAATACCTACTCACAGGGTTGCTATAAAAATTAAATGAGATACTACTACACATGAAAAGCTTAGCATACACAATTCCTGTCATTTTATAAATACTTTCTACACTACTGTTAACAGTTAGCAATCATATCTAATTTAAGAATATCAGAAGATGGCCACAGTGAGATTTTAAAAAGATACCTGCAAACACATTTGAATATAGTAAATGACATTCCTACTTTATTTTTTCTCCAAAGCAAAAAGCACATCCCTGCCTCCTGCTGAAAAGAAAAAAACTATCATCTGGCTCAAATTACCAAATGTATGCCTGTCAAAAAAATGTTTTTAACTTTTTTGACCTAATTTATATACATATGAATCTTGATGAATTTACTTCTACTATTAAGAGCAGACTCCATTCCCTTTTTATTTGGCTGAGCAATCAGGTAACATCTTCTTCTGGATTCCACAGAAGCTTTCTATGTACTTTGATATGTTCAACTTCATGGCAATAACTAATGAACATAAGTTTAGTTAAATAATAAAAAGGAAAGAACACAATAGGTAATATGAAAATAACAGTCTCAGGCTGCATATACTCCAAATTTGAATGCATACAAATAACTGCACTACTTAATTCACAGGGTTATGATAAACATTAAATAAGATGATGTATGTGAATATACCTTTTTATGTTATAGAAAACTATCATTATAATTATACTCTCAAAATAAACAATAGTGATTTCAATATAACTATGGCAAAATCAGGCTTTTTAATGCCATGGCAGCTAAACAAAAGTAAGTATTAAACTGTAAAGTTAAAAGACAAAATTTAATAATATGATGGAACCTAATATTATAATAATTTATATACATCTTCTGCCCTAGTAGACTGATTCTTGAAGCAATTACATATTTGTGCTAATTATATACCCTGTATTTACCAGGAGTCCAGACATATTTTAGGTAGAACAAAAAAACTAAAGAGACAAATTTAAAAACCACCTTATAGATACTCATAGAGAAACCTAAAGAGACTGTATTAGCTACCTTATTACCTCCACTATACACTACCCCATACAAGTCAACAATAAAACTAAAACTTTCAAGGTCAATAGGTCTTAGTATTATTATATATATTTAAGTAGAAAACTCGTATAACTAATTTTCATTGTATTTTGTACATATTGCATCAGAAGTACATTGTGCAAAACCATGCACAGATATAGCTTACTGACTTCAATGCAAATCACAATTATACGGACCACACATCCATTATAATATTTGAGAGTCCGATGTTAAAGGCAGTGAGTATAACCAAAATAAGTGGTTAAAAATCCAGCATTTAAAATTCTGTAACAGAATTTTAAGCACCTATTCGATGTTAATATTTTTACATATATTACCTCATTTAATCTTCACAGTAAACTTCCATAGTATTACTATCTCAATTTTACACATTCAGTAACAGATTTAGGTAAAAAGCCAGAAATTCAAACATATTCCAAGGCCTATTCCAGAAGAGGCTACTTTTAAGCTGTCTTCACAAAAAATTACCTTTTCTTAAACTCTGGGATAAGGGAAAAAGGTTTTTGGGTAAAATGTAGTAGAATAATTAGGCTGTCACTACCTGAACTTCCTGATCAATTTTAGCAACACTAGAAGTGGGTAACTAGCTATTAAGTACCTCTCTTTGTGACTTGGCATAGAAACACACATCGTCATCTTTGAGATATTTTTGCTTAATAAAATATTTAAAGCTGTGCCTGAATCTAACTGGATTTTATATATAACTTCAGGTTTAGAGGACATACAGAGCCTAAAAGAAGAGTTAAATGACACCAAGAAGAAGCAACAAACTCAAAATATGACATATTCTATACTACAAATAACCTAGTTTCTCTCTCTAAGTCAGTAGCATTCAAAAAGGAAGAAAAGGGCTTCAATTAAAATGAGACTTAAGAAACAGCCAAAGCTAACGTGGGCCTCATATGAATCTCCATTTGAACAAATGAACTTAAAATAAAGACAATTATGGGACAATCAGAACATGTGAATGTTGACTGGATGGACATTAAATGATACAAGGATTTACTTTTAACTTTGCCAGGAGTGATAATAAAATAGTGAGAAAATGTCCTCTGATAAAGAGTTACATATAAATATTTAGGTGCAAAGCAGCAAAATATCAGAATATGCTTTAAAATAGTAAGTAGAGAGAGAGAAAAAAAGATAAAACCAATATCTCAAAATGTTAATAATTACCTAATCTACAGAATAGATATACTGTTTTCTCTACTTTGGTGCTTAAAAGAATTTCAAATTAAAGTTACAAAAAAATTCTTTTTGCCCTGGCCAGAACACAAGGGTAAAATATAACCATGAAACTAATTTAAAACAAAGTGGACAATATACTCTTTAATGACCAAGAAGACTGAGCCATGAATAAATTTTTTAACCAAATACTATTTTCAAATATATCTTAAGCATATACCATTTGTGAAGTGTCCAAAGAAATAATTGTTCTTGTCTCATCTGCAGGACATTTCAGGCCGTATGAGACACTTGTACCTCCTGCCAAAATAGAAAACAACAACTTTATGTTTAAATATTTTATTTTTAGTTATATATACAAAGTATACAAATAAGCCTCCTATGGAAGTAATACCTATATCTACTTTGCAAAATGTAATTTGTAAATGCTAGCACACTAAAAGCAAACTCACCTTTATTTTATGCTGCATGCCAAAATGAAGAACTATTATGGAGCTGAAAGCAATGGGCACACTCCATCCCCTGGGCACACTCAAGTGAAGCCCCTAGCAATTTGTGAAACTCCAAAAACATGATTAGAAAAGTTCTAAACTAATGATTACTATGAAAAAATGGTTTAAAATAAAAAATTAAAATACCTAGCCTATAAAACTAGAGACACCATTACCTCTTTTCGGCCGTAATTCTGAGATTCATTTATCACTCAATATCTCATATGCTCATACAAAAAGGCTTTAATAAATTAAAATACAAACAAGTTAAAATTGCCCAGATTATATGATACTCAAAAACAAATTTCTTTGGTGAAAAAGTGATTTTAATATAAAATAAATACACAGAAGTATTTAAACAATATACTCCTGTTTTCCATTAACATTTGTTGTCAAAGGAAAAATGATTTCTTGAACCCAATACAGAATATAGTGTTCTTAGTTCTTAACCATATCTGTATCAACATACATCAGAATAATTCTTAATTGGTACTTCCATGCGTTTTGGACAGAAAACATGGAGTCACCTTGATACAAGGTAAGAAGTATAAGGGGTGTTGACACATGAGACTCAGCTTAATTTTACAAGGTGAAACCATGAATTGTCAGTTAAAAACATGCCTGTGCTCAATAACCACTATTATGCTTGTCAGTTATTTGAAATCAGAAAAATTGTTCATTAAAAGTAGCACTGTAGTGCCTTTGTTGTATGAATTCAACAGGAAGTATCAGCTGAAGAAGGAATATGAAGCTTCTGATATGTTGGGGTCTTATTTCCATTCCATCACTGCCAATGCAGTCAGTGAAGGCAATTTCCTTTGCCTTGTGAAAGTTGCTAAAATAACGTGGTTGATGAAAGATCAAGAAAGATGAAATCTGTCTTAAGATGCGAAAAGGTATTAGTTCTCATTATTAAAAAGATATTGATTTGGTCACCAATGTCCTTGTAGATCATTTACACACACTGCATTCCTTCTCAAAGGTTTACATTGTGTATATTTACCTTTGAAAAATATTCTCTCCATAAGGATAAAGATTAGAAATTACTAAAGAAGAAATATATTCTTATTTAGGCATTAAAATCACAGCTTCATCAAGAGTCCACATGAAAAAGAAACCATGAATTAAGGCTTCTTAGGTACATCAATCACATCTTAGGTAGATCTACTAGGAACAGAAATGAGGAGCACAACAATTTTTCAGAATAACCTTATCATAATTACAAAAATATTTGTTTTCAGTGGGATGGCACAAGTATTTAAAGTATAAATATTTTAAATTGAAAGAACAAATTTATATCATATTAAAATTCAAAAGGCACAATACCTACCACCAATTGGTATGATACAAAGGTTATATTTGCACGCTAGATTCACAATCTTAACTACATCATCATGACATGCTGTTGAAAGAAGGGAAAATAAATTAATCACAGAAACATGAATAACATCTGGGTAAATCTGAAAAATATGGGTCTATAAAGTAATCTTTCCCTTCATTTATTCACTCATTAACACATGAAATAGCTATATTAAAACAAATTGTTCATGATTTATCTTTTAACTTTTTTGAAATAATTTCATAGTTACAAAATAGTTGCAAAAATGGTACAAAAAATTTCCTTCACCCAGCTGCAAAACTAACATCCAACGTAACTATAGTTCAATGATCACAACCAAGCAATCGACACTGATACAATACTATTAACTAATCTACAGACCTTATGCACATTTGGCCAACTGTTCCTCTATTATCCTCTTTTCTAGACCAGGATCACACACTGCATTTAGTCTTCATGTCTCCCTAATCTTCTTTAATCTGAGACAGTTCTTCAGTCTAACTTTGACATTCATGACCTTGACTCTTTTGAAGAGCACTGGTCAGTTATTTCATAGCATGCCCCTCGATTTGGATTTGTATGATGTTTTCTCGTGATTAAATTCAGGTTATACATTTTGGCAGGAATTCTGCAGAAGTGATGTGCCTTTCTCAGCATGTGATGTCTGGAGGTGCACGATGAAGACAAGTATCATTTCTGGTAATGCTAATTTTCATCTTTTGGTTATGTAGTACCTGCTAGGTTTCTCCTCTCTAAAATTATTATAATTAATATGTATCCTGTGGTGGGATACTTAAACTATATAAATACCATGCTTCTCATCATACTTCCACCCACTAATTTTTGCATCTGTTGATGATTCTTTTTAAACAAATTTTAAAATATTATGTATAATATATTGCATATGAATTCCTTTCTATTGTACATAATTGAAAGGTACACAGTTATTGGTATAAAAGTTATAAATAACAAAAACATGACTGGAGAAGACTTTAAATACCAAGCAAGAGGTGCTAAGAATCAATCTGACTAGCCATAGGGCCTCAAGGAGAGGAACATGACAAAAAGTCTTTTACAAAGATCACTCTTCTTATGGAATATAAAATAACATGAAGGAAAGAGAGACCTGAGGTAAGCAAACCATGCACAAATCAAGTATTACACAAATCAAGTATTACTTGCTAAGGGCCTGAAAGAAAAAAAAAAGGATGCAAAGGAAAATATGCAAAAGAATATCCTTTTATGAATATAAAAATACTGTTCTATAAAAGCTGTAATTATCATTTCTCAAAGTTGCTTAAAGCTAGGAATATATGTCATTTGTATCATTCCAATTTCTAATAAAAATTCATTTTCAAGATTTCGGATTAAACTCATAGGCTTTACTGTTTGCGGTAAATTTTTACTAAATATTAATTGTCCACTGATAATTAATAACATACCCAAATACGTCTGTTAAAAACCTTTAACAAGGCAAAACTATTTCTAGGATTGTCACCTAATCAGAAGCTATCCCTTGAGCACGTTATCTGACAGAGCACTCCCTCATCCTACTACCTATCCTATTTTGCTATCTTCTGTCTTGTTTTTCTTTATACCACTCAATATATTACATATTTATCTGTTTATTGTTCTGTTCCCCTCTCCTCCAAATATACTGTATTGCACCTGAGACCAGGGATTTTTGTTTTGTTCACTGCTTATCCTCAATACCTAGAACAGTACCTAGGCACATATTTTCACAGACCTTAAAGTTTTGGTATTTAGATTTCAGACCTGAAAGTTTTCATATTTGGTACTTAGAAAATAATACATAAATACTAAATTTAATAAGTGAAATAATTTTTTAAATATGTTATTGCTAAAAAAGACTATTTTTACAAGCATTCTTACCACAGACAACACATTGTATAAGTCACTAACTACTTGTCCAAACTAAAAAAAAGAGCGATAACCACACTGTGTAAAGGTCAGAATGGTGACAAATCCTGCTTTAAAGAATACTCTAAATCAGAGAAGTTACATATATTACAAATTCTTACTCTTTGACAAGCCCTAGATATTCTATTAAATCAACATTTAGAAATCAGATTCAGATTACAGCCCAACTTAAAGACATCTACAATGATAGATTTCCTAGATATGTATATATATATTATATATATGGCATATATACATATTCAAACTGCAAGATGAGACAGCCACCTCCACTCTGAAATATCACATTGTCTCAGGTTACCACATTGTGTCAAAACTTGCCTTCATGCAAAGAAAAACTTGAACTTTATCATCAACAGAAAATTTACATTAAACTTAAAGGCCTCAGTGAATTGATAACCTGTTGGGAGATAAACTATTCCCAAGAAGTCCTCATACTGGAAAATTCAACAGAAGAAATTAAAAATATAATCTTGATTCAGGCACCAATACACTTTTCAGAAAGATTCATGTGGTATGGAACAAGATGGCAAAAGGAGTATTTTTTTAAAATTAACCTTTCAAGAGTGTATGGGAAGTTTGGAGGAAAAAGAGACTTAAGGCATGACAACCTTTAAGGCTACAGCAAAATTCCAGATATGCACTGATAAGGGCCTGAATTGGAAATTGGGATGGTAAAAGATAAAATGGAAGGACAAAGTTGTGATGGAAGTATTTTTCAGCATAAAGAAACTTTTATACAGCCCAGCTAGAGTGGCTCAGTTGGTTGAGCATCACCCTGGCGCCAAAAGATGCCGGTTCAATTCCCAATCAGGGCACATGCCTGGGTTGCAGGTTCGATACCTGGTCAGGGCAGATACAGAAGGCAACCAATCAAAGTCTCCCTCTCACCTCAAAGTGTCTCTCTCTCTCTCAGCATGTCCTCGGGTGAGGATTAAAAAAAAAAAAAAGAAAGAAACTTTTGTGCAATAACTAACTCCATGTTTCCAAAATCTGATTTTAAAAAATATTTGGATTTCTTAAAGCAAGACATATATTACCATTATGGTAATTATCTTAGTATTTTAATACCCAGATATATAAAGAAAATACCTAAAAGGCACAGTAGAAAGTTCCACTCAAGATATATCTATTAGGTTCTTTGGGAAATAAAAATTGATACATGTCATTCCTTCCAGTAAAAAAATGGAATGAACCTTTCCTAAATCTTGGTAGAGGAGTAGCCTAAAGCTATTAAAACAGGCAGACAAAACAAAAGCATTTCTTCTATTTGCGTATACCTTTTCTTCGTTTCAGGAGATGCTAAATTTCTAAACTACCAGAGACAAAAGACTTATTTCACAGTCTTCTAAATACACAAAAAATATATATCACAAGTATCAGGAAAGTAATTTCATCTCAGCTACATATAATCTTGGACTTTTCTGCTATGTATGTTACCTCCCTCTATCCCCATATTAAAGTACGATTCTTCTCTCAGATACTCCCAGCAAAGTAGAAGGATCACATCTAAGAACTGAGAGTCCATGAATAAGCCATTTTTTTGAAAAATAAGATATTCTGTCTACTTTTACAAAGTGTAAAGAGGAAAAAAGATAAGAAGATCAATGGAACATTTTTTAAAAAGGCAACTACAGACAGTAAGGAACAATATACCTGTTCTGCTTTAAATTTTCTGATAGAAGAGATGGATATAAAAACCATATGTAGAAATATAGTGCATCAGAAGAGCAAAATAACAGAGAGCTCATACATCCTCTGTCTCAAGCCAAATTCCTGAATGAAATTAATTCCTCAAAATTTAACTATTCATGTCCAAGACAATATGTTTATAAAACAACTTGTTTCACCATCTCATCATCAGGCTTTTTTTAACCCACAAGCAGATATCAACAAATTATTATTAGTTTGCAGTAATCAATTATTTTAATTAAGAGTTTAATTATTTTAATTAATGATTTGACTATATCATTATTGATACTAACTTCATTAAGCTTCCAAATTAAACAAAAATACATTTTCTACCGACCTAATATATTTATTTCTACTAATCTCCTAATGATATTTTACTTATTTATTTACTTAAAATGAAGACTTGATCATCAACAAAATCAATTATTAAAATCAATAGCTCAGGATGATCAGATCAAGAAAGAACTTTATGACCTTTACTAAACTCTAAAAACAGTTATATTTTTTTATAACTCATATGTTAAAAATTATATATTTCCAATACAAAGTTTACTTAAAATTTAACAATACTAAATTAAGAATACAAGAAAAAGAAGAACTTACTTGGCCATAAAACTATATCAGGAATTCGATGAAAAATTCCTTCCCTGAGTAAAAATATCTCATGAAGACAATGACCTGTTTTGTGGTTTAAAAAAGAAAATACCATAAACATCTTACATGACAGAAAATTTTTAAATTAAAAATAAATAGCACTTATATAAAATTGCTTACCATGAGCTCTAAATACTCGATCATCTGCTTCTTGTGAATATGAAATATTAGTTTCTTTAAGTTCATGAAGAAAATCTTCATTTACAACAGAAGGGGGTGTATCACCAGGATTTAAGGATGCCTAGAAAATAAAATTGGTTTTCTTTGGCTTATTTCTAGAAAATAAATTTTGAATACCTCTGTTATGGACAGTGACTATAAAATGTAAAATGTTTATATCCAAACTAAGACAAAAGCATAGAAAAATACCAAATAATATGTATGGAAATCAACTTTGTGACAGTAACAAATTGCAAATGGTCTGGTTAATCACATTCTGTAACATAAGTTATAGAAGCCTTATGTTTCTTCTTTTGCTTCTATGGCAAATCTTTTTCTTCTTTCTAAAGACTGCAATCAAGAACAAGGAAGATAGCCCGGCAGGGCGTGGCTCAGTGGTTGAGCGTTGACCTAGGATGCAGGCGATCAGTGTTCGATTCCCGTTTAGGGCACATGCCTGGGTTGTGGGCTGCAGCGGATCGATGACTCTCTCATCATTGATGTTTCTATCTCCCTCTCTTCCTCTCCTTTCCTCTCTCTGAAATCAATAGATATATTTTAAAAAAAAAAAAGAACAAGGAAGATAGCCCTATCTGGTTTTCTTAGTGGTTAGAGCATTGGCCCACAGACCGAAGGGTCCCGGGTTCGATTCTGGCCAAGGGCACGTAACTCGGTTGCAGGCTCGGCCCCACTCGGGGTGGGTGCAGGAGGCAACCAATCAGTGTGTCTCTTTCTCACATTGATGTTTTTCTCTCTCTATCTCTCTTTCCCTCTCCGCCCCTTCCACTCTCTCTGAAAAGCAATGGGAAAAATATCCTCTGGTGGAGATATGAAAAAAAAAAAAGAACAAGAAAGCTAGCAACATTTCAAACCTTCAACTTTACATTAAGGAAACTGGGGGAAAGATACTTGACCTACAGATAAAATGTATCATTTCCTATACTCCAATTATAATTTTAAAATGAATAGCAAAAATCCTCACAATATAAGTAATAAAACTCATTTTATAGACTGCTTTAAAAACTCACAACATAATTATAAACTTGATACTTAATTTCAACTAATAGGTAACTTGAAAAATTAATCTTCAACTTTAAAGCTATGTGACACTGGGCAAGTCAACCAACTTCTGTGAGCTTTGGCTTCTGAATCTGTTAAATGACATTATCACCACCAAATTTATACAGCTGCCAGAAGGTTAGCTGTATAGGATGGAAGGTTAAATGTGATAATTTTTGTGAAAAGCACCTAATATTACCTACCATATAGAAAGAGATGTATAAATGGCTGCCCAAATCAAATTTGCTATGAAAAAACTAACCATAGTATTTGGAAAAAAGAAAATATAAAAATATTAAAGAAAAATATGATATTTATATAGCCCTGTATTTCATTTTTAATTTTACAGTTGGCCCTCTGTACATGTGAGTTTTGCATACACAGATACAACCAATGGTAGATCAAAAATATTTTTTTAAAAATCCCTGGAAGTTCCAAAAAGAAAACTTTAATTTGACACAGGTCAAGCACTACACTGAATCCTTGCGAATGAAGTGATACGTAGGCATACCCTGCTGTAGATTATATGCAAAAATAGGTTATATACAAATATTACAGCATTTTATATAAGAGACTTGAGCATCCACAGATTTTGGTATCCACAAGGGTCCTAGAACCAATCTCCTGCAGGATTATTATATATTTAGATAATAAATACTTATTGAGTGTATGGTATAAGTCAGGCATTGTTCTAAGCCCTGGGGAGACAGTGGTGAATTAAACAGAAAAAAAATCTTGACCTCATGGAATCCACCCTGAAGCAAATAACCAAAAACACCCTAACCATACATACAGATTATTATTTTGTAAGTTACTGAAAATTGAAAAGGGCTCAAAAACAGAAGAAAAAGTGCATGTAAATAAAACTAGTGATATTTCTGAATATGGTATGTAGATTGCATCAATGTAAAAAAAGTAATTACAAATAGTCAAGAGAGAATTAAGGAGATGAAAAAAGAGATCTTTTAAGAAAAGTTAAAAGAATTTGGTTTGGGAAGAGAAGGAATTAGTTGTTTAGCCTAATTTAATTACTAAAATAAAATGTATCAGTGGATTTATAAATAAATCAAGTAAGTACTCACTAAATACTTACAGTCCTTAATAACATGGTGGATATAATGGAGAATATAGTGTTAGCCATAGCCCCTGCACTTACGGAACTTATATCCAGTTACAGGGACATGCAGAATACTATGGCATAGCAAATAATAATAAATAATAAAAATCATAATAATATAAAGAAATACAATGTCATTAGTTTGATATGTATACAGTGTAAAGTTTTCTAATCCTACTTCCAGATAAGTGAAACTACACCCTAACAAGGTCAATATAACTAGTAAACTTCTTAACAGAAAAACATGACAAATGCATCAAAGCAACTATAATAAATTACAAAGATAAGTCTAATTAATTTGGAATTAAACACACACACATACAGAGTTAAGCATATTAGTAATTGTTCTTATTTGCTTACTTTAGAGGTAGTTTTATGCTCCAAATTTACTCCAAGGGTATTTTCAATCCATTCCTTAAAAGATGGTAAACACATGCCACTAAGAGGGTACCTAAGGTACAAAGAAGGTAAAACATTAGAGTAAGGTATCCTCATTTCAATTTAAATCTTAGATTCTGCTTTAGTAATGGTGAAGTAGTTCCAATCAAACCAAACCCCTCACATATAATTATAAACTCTGAACAAAAACAAAACAAAACAAATAAAACTCAACTATCTGAAGGCAAATCAAAAGCAGGAAAAAGAGAGTGTGTTTAGGAGAAGGAAACAGCACTGCATGGTTTCTTTTCTTTTTCTTTTTTTTAAACGGGCTTTAGCTCGAAGGGAAGCACAGCTGGTACCACTAAAAGAAAAAAAAAATGCAGAAGACCTAGTCTTCCTGGCTTGAAGAATTAGAGGATAGTGTTTGAAGTGAGCACAGAATCTGGAAAACGTACAGGGAAACCACAGAAAAGAAGAGTTGGAGAGGAACCTATATATAAACTCTGTTTGCCTGATTTTGAATTACACATCTATGGAGCAGACGCTAAGCAGCCCAACTAAGCTTAAAAGAACTAAACAGATAACTCAGCTGCTCGCCACCACAGAGGAAAACTGAGAATTTGAGATCAGTCAAGTTAATTGCCTGATGTAGAAAAAAAAGTCTTCTCAGAAGAATGTAACAGAATCTAGAGTCTCTACAACATATCATTAACAATGTCCAAGATACACTCCAAAATTACTAGACATGAACAAATTAGAAAGTATGATCCATAATCAAGGGAGAGGGCAAGTAATAGAAACTTACTCAAGATGATCCAAGATTCCAGAAATAGAACACAAGAATTTTTAAACAGCTATAACTATGCTGAAGGACAAAAGGGGAAATATATTCCCAGTGAGTAACAGAAATCTCAGCAGAGAAATAAAAACTACAAAAAGAACAAAACAGAAATTCTATAATTAAAACTCTGAAATAAAAATTCATTGAAGGAACTTAAGAGCAGATTGGAGATGTCTTAACAGAGAGCCATAAAATATATACAATCTGAAGAACAGAGAAAAAGGCTGAAAAAATAAATAGAGCTTCAGGAACCTATGGAACAATAACAAAAAACTACCATACATATAAATGGAGTCCTAAGAAGGAAAGAAAAAAAAGTATTTGAAAAAGTAATGGATGAAAGTTTCCAAATTTGATGAAGAGAAAAAGTTTAGAAATTCAGGGTCAGAAAACTTAAAGAGGATAAATGCAAAGAAACTCGCACTAGGTACAACAGAGCCAATCTGCAATTAGAGAAGGGGGAGGAGAAAGAAAATCTTAAAGGCATCTAGAGAAAAATGATACATTATATATAATGGGATAACAATAAAAATTATGACTGACTTCTCATCACAGACAATAAGATAAGGAAACAACTGAACAACGTTTTTAAGGTGCTAAAAGAAAAAACAGATCAACCTAGAAATCTGTATCTGGTGAAAATATCCTTCAAAACAAAAGTAAAATAAAAACATTTTCAGATGAAAACTAAGAGACCTTGAGAACTTGGTGCCAGCAGATCTACACTACAAGAAATGCTAAAGGAATTTCTACAGTCTGAAGGGAAATATAACATGAAATATAAACTCAAATCTTCAAGATGGAATACATAATGCCAGAAAAAGTAAATATGTGGGTAAATATAAGTGACTATTTCTTTATTAATTTCTTTAAAATATATAATTAAAAAAAAAATCATAATGTTGTATCATGGAGTTTATGGTGTGACAATTATAATAAGAAAAGGGAACAGAAAATAAACCTGTAGATTTGCAAGGTTCTTAGGCTTTCCATGAACTGGCACAACACATTTAAAACACACAAAAGAGCACTATAAAGGGCATATAGTATGAAAAAAACAAAATTTGCTAGTCTGATTTTGTTTCCTACATCTTTTATCTCAATCTCTATTTAAATAGTTTATATAAAACATCAACATTATTTCACATATGTAAGAAAACCTCAATTTTATATGAGAAGATTGATGCAGAAAACTCAAGTGCTTAGAGATTCAACTTTTCACTTCTCAAAGGTGGCAAAATAAGAACTAGCAATAAATGCTAGAAATAAAGAGATAAAGTAAGTATCCTACCCTAGGTTAGTATAATGAAGAAGGTTGATATGCAAACAGTAATAATCCAATGTGTTATAATAGCAGTAAAAGATCAAAACAAATGTCTAAATGTTTTAAAACAGCACTTTACATTTTTTATTAAGTAAACACATTGCATATCATGTGCCAGGCATTTTTCTAAGTATTTTATGTATATTAACTTATAATAATAATAATAATAATAATAATAATAATAATAATAATATGAGTTTGGTATTATTATCCTCATTTAATAAATGAGGAAGCTAAGGCACAGAGAATTTAAACAACTTAAATAACTTTAAGGAATAAAGTAATTTATTTACTCAAGGTTCCAGAGCTAGTAAATTACAAAACTGGGATCTGAATCAGACTATGAATAAGGCTTGAGTCAGTCTGTGCTATAACCACTATACAATGCTGCCTCTAGTCTGACTCTTCCCTTGCCACCATTCCTAGTAAGATCATTAAACTAAAATTCTTTATGAGTGACATTTATAAAATCACAGTAGCTCTATTCAGTAAACTTTTTTACTGTAATATTCTTGCATCTTCTTTACTCCTCCCCCTTCCCTCTGCCAAAATCGATGATGGGTCAGCCAAATAAAATTACTATACAGGGTGGGGCAAAAGTAGATTTATAGTTGTGAGTACACAAAACACAGTTTATTCTTGTATTACTATTTATTAATTATTGTATTATTTTCTATATGAACTGTAAACCTACTTTTGTCCCACCCTGTATTATAGCTGTTCTATTTTTGTTTAATTTTATATTTTACTTATACTGAAGTATAACATACATAAAACAAATAAGTATATATTTGAATGAATTTTTACAAAGTAAACCTTCCATGTAATTAAGACCTAGTAGTTCCAAAGTTGGTCGCTTTGTAGAACATTATTAACATGTAGTAGCACGTGTATTATAACCAACCCCCCAGAATTTACTTTTACCTTAGCTAAAATGAAGAACATTTGCTATGCTGAGTGGCTTCATCTTTAGTTGTTTAATCTATGAGTCCCATACCTTCATTCCAATTTCTTTAGAAATATTATAAGAAAAGTTAAAGAAATGAGAGGTATTTAACTTAAGAAACAGCTATGAAATGACTTGAGTATTATAGTAATATAATTTGGATTGATATCTAGAACTATAAACAAACATTTATCTAACACTAATAGGACTATACTATGCACTGTAGGATACAACTGGTCTTATGACTCCTGTTCTTAAGAAACTTACAACCCAGTTCAGTCAAAGCTGCAAAGACATTTAATTTGTAGGGTGAACATATGAGCAGGAAACACATAACTTTTATCAGAAATGTGATAAGAAGAAAGCCAAATGCCTATACCAATTGTTGAAACAGATTACTGAATAGATCTTTACCATGGTTGAAGATTAGTTTGAGAATTTTAAGAAATGGTCTCTTTGTAAAATACAAAGATCAAATTACCACCTTTCCTTAAAACCAAGGTAGACTATAATGTAGAAGATACAGAATCAGAACAAGCCTTCAAGACCAATGAAATCAGTATACATAGAAAGAAAACTCTTTGGACATAAATATCCAAGAAGAGAGTGCATGTCAGCATTTATGATGACTTAGACAGGGAGACACTCACTCTGGGGCAGTGCACAGAGGCAGCAAAACAGTACATGCAACCATCGATCAGAGTGAGTTCCACAACTGCTAAGCAATTTAATAGCCTTTTCAGAATTGAAGATAAAACTTTAGTGAAAAAATATGCCACTGAAAATGCAATGTGCAACAAACCCAAACAAATTCCATTTAAACACTAACTTGTGTTCTGTATCAATTAATGTATACAACCTTTAAAGTCAAAGAATGACATTTTTCAAAAATCTTAGTTTACAGAATGTATAGCACTGGTTCTGAAGTATTACCATCTGCTGCTTAAAATCAGGACTAAATTCATCTACATCTAAAAGAAATAAAAATGATAAGATTATAAATCTAGGGATTTATAAACTGGCAAATTACAAATCTGTTCAGAAGACAGACTGTGTTCAGAGAAAAACTAATTTTCCCCAAAGATCTAAAATACCTTATAATAATTGCTTCTAATATAATGGCTAGGTTTTAAATGTCCAAGTTACCCTCCCCCCAAAATATACAATCAACCACATTTCCTACCTTTTCAATGTTTATTGGCTCAGAAATAAGGGAATCTCCATAAATTTTCATTGAGAGTCACTATTAGTTTCTGGCACCTAAGGATTTCCCTTCCTTTCTTTCTGACTCTGTTATATTTCTTTCTTGTGATATTTTATCCATGTTTTCTGTGTAGTTATAGAGGGCAAAGTGTCTATATTTGTTTAGTCCACTACAAAGCCAGAATAAAAAGTCTTAACAAAACATTTCAAAAGTTTTCCTTACAATCTAGTATTAATAACAAAAGGGTGAATTAATACTGTTCAGCCAAATCATTATTTTCTTTTACTCATCCTTTCTAGTCACAGATATCATCTTCTCTTTTAGGAATATCATAACCTTCTTATGCCTTTGCCCTTTGCCTCTTACTGGAACAATAGGAAATTTTTGTCACACAGTAACTTTTTATAAGATGACTAACTCTATTATGCTGGCGTATACTGTGTAAAGGGCTACTGTGAAGTACCCCCAGAGGCTGGAGAGAGAACAAACTCAATACAATGGATGAGTAGGGTGATGTGCAGAAGTACTTCACAAGCATAGCATAATAGAAACAGTCTGAAAGTGAAGCTTAGAAACACTTGGTTTTTAATCCCAATTTCCCACTGAGCAGGAGACCTCAAGTAAGCTATTTAACCTTCTCATCCTCAATCTCCTCATTATTTTAAAGAAAATATGACTACCCATCTTTGGATTATTTTAAGATAACTTAGTAGGCACCAATAAATAATAGCTGTTATTATTTTCAAGAATGTTTATGGCCCGGCTAGGTGTGGCTCAGCAGATGAGCATTGACCTATGATTCAGGAGACTGTGGTTCGATTCTCGGTCAGGGCACATGCCCAGGTTGCAGCTCGATCCCCAGGACAGGGCATGCAGGAGACAGCTGATCAATGACTCTCTCATCACTGATGTTTCTATCTCTCTCTGAAATCAATAAATATATATATATTTTTTAAGTTTATGAATGTTTTCTGATAAAAATCAAAGAAATCTACTTAATCAACCACTATCCCTAGGAACCTAGACTAGATAGAGAACTATGACCCATTTCCAGTTTTTCCTATCTGTGACAAGGTAATAGTACTTCTAGAAGTACCAAAATGAAAACTAAATATTATTTAGCTAATACTTAGTTTTAGTTATTGAATTTTTTTATGTAGTACATATTTAGTATCAGACCATCTAAATTCCATTTCTGTATATGGAGAATTACCCTCTGGATGAGTCTCAGTGGGAACCAAAGGCTGCCTTTCAGTAAGTCAAATGTGCCCCAAATTCACTTTCCTGGTCTCTCTTTGCAGGTTCTGCCGGTTAGATGCAACTGTCCCCTACCATCCCATTCTCTTCCCCCTCCCGCACTAGACTAACTCAAGAGTAAACCATGCACAGAAATGAGGCTTTTATTGAATCCATCCTGGTTAGAGTGGCACTAGCAGCAATCTTCCAATGTCTAATGCCATCTGATCAATTCTCTGCTTTCAATGGCACTTTCCTGGAGTACAAGTTGACTATCTGTCCCCTTCTACAAAACAAAGATGCTATACCTTCAAGGTCCAAAGAGAGAAAGAAAGAAATGAAGACACTGTCTGAGAGTTGGTTTTCTAAGTTCAGAAGATTCACTTTTTCCCCCACAGAAGATTGTGTAAAGCCAATCTCTACATAGATAAGTTTCTACTGTATTAGACATTATTCCATTTAAAACATAAAACAGTCAACATCTAGAACACTGGTAAATTTATATTTTCACCAGAAATTCCTTCCATCTGAATTATATACAATTTCTCAACTAAGCCTCTAATCAGCATGCTGCCCAGTCATAATTAAGGAATGGAAATAAGAATGCAGATAATATTTATTTTTCTTATTAAAAAGCAATGGTGGCCTGGTTGGAATGTCATCCATACAACAAAAAGTTTAGGGATTTGATTTCAGTTCAGGGCACACATGGGAGAAAACTGACTGATATTTCTCTCTCACATTGCCTTCTCTCTATTAAAATTAGTTCCTAATTACTATTCCTGAGGTTTTGTTTCAGGTACAAAGTATATTTAAGTTAGAAATATAGAAGGCTTATGTTGCAAAGAAGAATAATTTCTCCAAAGGAATAAAAGTTTTCTTGCTGATATTTCAATATATTGACATATTAAATAAGTTTAAAATGTATTAAACTAAGTATATTAATACCCAATAGATACTAAGGCGACGTACAATACTGGAACATATTATAATATAGCTTATCTGCATTCTGAGTCAAACAAACTACCTACAAAAATGGCATTTTGAGACAACTGGGAAAATGTGAATGTGGACTGGATAATCAGATATTATAAAATTTATTATTTTAGGGAGTATGATAATGGTATTACATGACTGGCCTCATTTTTTTAAGGGATATATATGTAAATATTTAGAAGTGCCATGAAAATGTCAAAATTTGAAATACTGCAGAAAACAAAGTAGCAGTTATGGCAAAACACCAGTAACCTTTAAATTGAAGAAAGAGTTGTTATATTATTCTATTGTTATGTATGTCTATTATTGAACATGTTATATTTGCTATGTTTTAAATTTTTCATAGAAAGAGGGGAAAAAAAAGAAAGAATAAACAGAGTTACCTTTTCCCAGTCAACTCAACTTGGCCTTTCTTATTGAAGATGAACTTGGAATCACTATATCCCCAACCATTCCATTTCAAAACTTCTTGCCTAATAAGAAAAAATATATATAAATGATACCAATGCTAAACATCTCAAAACTAAAGAGTGCAACACTGACTATTAACTTTCACAATCATTTAAAAGACTTTATTCCACTATTATATTTGTTTAAATAAAATGGACGCATATCACAATGTTTATGTATTAATGTTTCCAAATATAGGATCACTCTAATGAGCAGCACCTGTTTCACAAAAGGCTAAAACCACTAAATTTAATGCATTCAAAGGAAAAAGGAGGAAGCAAAAACAAAGAAGAAAAGTAGGCTTGAGTAAAATATGCTTTATTTTGTACATTATTAAGCTTACATTACAGGAGGCCTAAAAAAATTTACAATTAAAATAAATTACTTGAATAGGAAACAAATTTTTGCATGTATTAAAAAAATGATAATTATTAACCTTCTGCTTTGATGAAAAAGACCAATTTACAAAGCACATTCACTAATAATGACATTATTAGTAGCAGAAAATTTTAATAAAATATATTAAAAATCTGAGTGCTGTGTCTATAACCATTCTAAATACTTCAACTTCCATGTAATTACAATCTCTACCTTGACTTATATATTAATGTTAACGTAACAGTCAATAACTATACTAGTTTTCAGTAGTCCAAAACAATATGGTATTTTTAATTTCCAAATGCAGTATTTCATAGTTTTAAAAATCATTTTCATCAAAATAAAGAGTTCACTTATTCAATTTTGCACATTACAGAAGAATATATAGGTCTAGGCCTGTGCAGAACACAACAGGCAACCATATTTCAGTGTTGTGTCAGATTTTATTATGTTTTAGCATGGTGCCCTAGTATATCTGGGCTACTGAAATAAAGTGATAATTATCAGTCAGAGATCCAAGGTGGCAGCAGAATAGGTGGAAGTTACACTCACCTCCTCCCAAGACCAAACTGAAATTACAACTAAAATATAGAACAATCAACCTGAATAACCAATTGAAGACTAGCTGAACAAGAAGTCTTACAACCAAGGATTTACAGAAGAAGCCACATCCACTAGCCTCACCCACCTGACTCCTACGGGCCCCGTCCTACTGAGCTGGGCTCTACAGGAGGCCCCAGCAGAATCTAAAACAGACTGAGTTGTGTGGCTACATGACAGGGGACATTTTGCCCTAGAAGGCCCAACCGGTGCGAAGCCCTCCCTTAATACAGCCAAATCTTGGTCTGTTTGGGCCTGATAAATTCTGCTGGACCCACCCTGATGACTCCTTCAGACCCTGCCCCAAACAAAGGTCTGCAGGCACCCAGTGGGTGGCAGTTAGACTTGGTATACCCTGGCACTTCTGCTGAGTGGCTTCAGACCCAGAACTGGAAGAGACTTTGAACCTGTATCAATCTGGTGAACACCATTCGCCCCTATCTGGTGACTCACTGAGAACCTACCTCATGCAACTCAAGTACTCCCAAAGTCTCTTTCAGTAAGTAAGCCTAACAGGGAGCTAGCAGGTGGAGGCAGGCAGAGGCCTTGGGCCTTTTGCTGACCTGACCCCTGGCTCAGCTGGCCTTAGTGCACAGTTTGGTCTTTCCCATGTACACCAGGCCCAGCAGAGGCAGCCACAAACTGTGCATCACTTTGTAGCTCCAAACAGGTTGCCCAGAAACAGTCACAGGCAGCATCTAATATTGACCTGCATCAGAGTCCTGCTCAAGAGGCCCCAGAACCAATACATCCAGTTGCCAGCTTCAGACAACAACAGAGCAGGATCCAACTAGCTTCACAAGTGGCATATCCAAAGGAAGATCTCAGCAGGAACCAGATCCTGCTGAGGTGAATTCCTGTTCATGTGGTCAGCACCTGCATGGTAATCTTGAGAAAGAAGAACAAAGTTGGATGTATAATGCTACCTGATATTAAACTATACTATAAGGCCACAGTAATCCAAACACCATGGTACTGGCATAAAAACAGACACATAGATCATTGGAATAGAATAGAGAGCCCAGAAATAAACCCATGCCTTTATGATCAATTAATATTTGACAAAGGTGGCAAGAACATACAATGGGGTAAAGATACTCTATTTAATAAATGGTGTTAGGAAGACTGGACAGATACGTGCAAAAAAATGAAACTAGACCCCCTTCTTACACCATACACAAGAATAAACTCAAAATGGATTAAAGACTTAAACATAAGACTCAAAACTATAAAACTCGTAGAAGAAAACATAGGCAATAAAATCTCTGATATTTCTCATAGCAGTATTTTTTTCTGATATATCTCCTTGGGCAAGGAAAACAAAATTAAAATTTTTTTTTAAATGGGACTACATTAAGCCTGCCAGGCGTGGCTCAGCGGTTGAGCGTCGACCTAGGATCCAGGCGATCGGGGTTCGATTCCCGGTGAGGGCACATGCCCGGGTTGTGGGTTTGACCAATGACTCTCTCATCATTGATGTTTCTATCTCTCTCTCTCCCTCTCCTTTCCTCTCTCTGAAATCAATAGATATATATATTTTTTTAAATGGGACTATATCAAACTAAAAGGTTTTTGCACAGCAAAGGAAACCATCAATAAGATGAAAAGACAACCCACTGAACAGGGGAACATATTTGCCAATGATACACATCTAATAAGGGGTTAATATCCAAAATTTATAAAGAATTCACACAACTAAACACCAAAAAACAACAACAATCCAATTAAAAAATGGGCGAAGGACCTGAATAGACACTTCTCCAAAAAGGACATACGGATGGCCAAGAGACATATGAAAAGATTCTCAACGTCACTGTACAATATACAGATGATGTATTATATAATTGTACACTTGAAACCTATATAATATTAACCAATGTCACCTGACTAAATTCAATAAACGTTTTTAAGAAGAAATAAAGTGATGATGATCTTCTTAGTGCAAATTGAATTCTGCAGTTTAATGAAAATAATTAAAAGAAAACTTTTCCCTATACAGAAAGTTATTTACTTACTACATTAAATTTCAAAATATATCACGAGAAAAAATATATGTGGTAATGAACTTACTGTGATCATTTCACAATATATACAAATACTGAATCACTACGTTGTACACCTAAACTAGTATAATGTTACATGTCAATTATATCTCAATTTTTTAATTTCAAAATAAAGATATACATACTCATTGGAATGCATTCTAATTCTTCATATTTCTCAATGAAGAAAATGACAACTTACATGCAAATTTTTTATTACAATCGTAATTCTTCATCCAGTTCAAAGGCTTTTCAAACAAAGGGAACACTAACACAATACAACTGAACCAAATGTAGGTCATTAATTGTGTACTGAAATCTTCATCTATACATAAAATTAAGAAAAAAATTAGGAATACTCTCCTTAAAATTATAGTTTGCTATCAAGAAAAACTAAAGTGCGTATACAAAAATAAACTGTTCAAAAATGTCTCAAGAGTAACAATCCAGCAGTTAGATTTGTAGGTGAGACTGTTACAAACTATTGACCAATATTTTCTTCTAATTTCACATTCCTACTGCACTGTAGATGGAAGTTTTGGAAGAAACCTTTTGAAAAAATCTCTATAGAAAAGTTCATGAATAATGTCACCACTGATACACTTATTTTCTTAATGTTACACCTCCTAGAAAAAGATTAAGTCATCGTCCACTTTGCTTTTTCATGATTATATTCTCTTCGCATTTATAAAATGAAGTATAATTTACTTAATATTTTATTTTTATCACATATCCATAACAATTTACATTACAAGACTAATGTGTACATTTTAATTAACATCTTTACTTAATGGTTTATACTATGTTCATAATTTTTTTTAGTGAAATGCATTTGATTAGGTAGTGAATCTGTCATGAAGTCTGTACTCTATAAAACAGTAGTTTGGGCCCTGGCTGGTATGGCTTGATTGGTTGGAGTATTGCCCCATACACTGAAAGGTTGCCCCATACACAAAAAATAAATGCAAAAATATCTATAGAGTCATTTTGCTTTAATATTATTACCACTAGGCACTGGGAAATTATTTCAATACAGCTATTGAATTTGGCATGTTTATATAGCTTAACAATGAGAATCATCTTCCTTAAAATTATGCCTAGAATTTAAATTAAAAAATTTTCCCCAGATGGCCTCAAAGTGAAAACCTAAACCTGATTACATGTGTTCACTCTTAGCACTTGATGGGAAAAATGAATCAAGATAAGCAGGAAGTATCTGCTGCTGTACACTAAAAAATGAAGAGATTTACATACTGAAGAATCACTGGCCTTAAATTTCCATTTGGTTAACATCCTAAAGAAACTTCCAAGTTTTTACCTGTAGGCCAAAATCCCCTTTTCACTCTTTTCATCTCAATCTGAAAAACCTGCCTATAGGGACCTTACCATATTTATACCAACTTTTAGAGCCTTCCCAGAAGTTGAAATGTAGGTATTTGGAATGCATTTGTACTCCCCAAAAAGTGTTATATTGCTTGAATAGCATACAATTAATATCTACGTTACTCCAAAACCAATCTTGAAGTACCCAGTGTTAAATAAAAAGTAGGCATATTTCCTAGACTTCAGGTTTTAAACTTTTACACACATGTATCCCCTCAAACTACTAAGATATTCTATGTAATCACAATTGTGTGATTACACTAAACCTTAAATTAACTTCTTATATAGAAGAGTATAATGAGTACATTGAAGGGTACTAGAGCATCAACATTTTAAATTTTTATTATATCTTTATTGATTTCAGAGAGAGGAAGGGAGAGGGAGAGGAAGAGATAGAAGTATCAATGATAAGAGAGTCATTATTGATCGGCTGCCTCCTGCACACCCTCGACTGGGGATCTAGCCCGCAACCCAGGTACGTGCCCTGACTGGGAATGAAACCGAAATCTCCTGGATCCTAGGTCGATGCTCAACCACTGAGCCACGCCTGGCCAGGCTAGCATCAACATTTTAAAAAGAGAGTAAAACTTTACATAATCATAGAATTCTAAAGCCTAAAG